GAGAATGAGAATGTGGAGTTCATTTCCCTTGTATGGTTTCAGAGAATTAATTAACGAGATTCAGATTGTTTATAATTTCTGATAACTTATTGAAACTGGGATTCACGCCGTTTTTAGTTACACTGAAAAATATCTGCTCAAGTTATTAAATATTACAATTACATTATATATTTTGAATTTGATCAATAATACATTATTTGAGCTCCAAATCTGAAATCTCTATTCTGGCTTGTGAAGATGATGAAGAATGTATAAAGAAGCAGATGACAGGAAAATACATACAGAATAACAAAGTAGATCCATACCAGTGGCTATTGTCACTATCTTGCTTCTTTCAAACATCTTCACTAATAGAATCATGACTATAACATGTCCCACTTTAGTCTTTAGTTCATCCAGGGAACTTATTTTCATCCATTTTGGCCTCTCATACAAACCCGTACAATGATTTAATCAGTGTAGCACTTGAGAAATGGACTTGGAATTAAGAACCAACAGAGAAGTAGAAAGAATGGTATGTGCAAAAATTTTATAAGACTTTTGTGGTATAGAGAAGGCCGTAGCATGGGACTAGGGGAAGGGGTTACAACATTGGGATTCGAACTTCAGATTTGTTGGATGCCTACTCTTAAGTATGGCTGCATGAAAAAAAATCTGAGTTCAAAATTTGATAAGATAATAATCAATATTTGAGACCCTATATTGATTACTGATCTATTTACCAAGTTAAGATCAGCTTCCATAAGAAGATGCAAAAATTAGTTTGGAAGCAAAGGTTGATCCTTGGCCTTAATGGGTTAAGATTATTTTGAAGTTATCCATTGAATATAACATTTCCTCGAGCTAAGCATGGTTGAAACTGGAATATGAAGATGACATGATCATGCAATAAACTGTAAAGCAAGAAATGAAGTTAATAAAGCGGTATTGGTTGGGGATTCCTAATCAAATATTGAAGGCTGTTACCTTCAAAGCAAACATTCCAAGCAAGGATGAGCCTTTGAGGGCACGATCAACACCAGCAGGCACTTCTGGATTCACATTACTAATGAATAATCCATACAAGCCCATACCAAATATTAACATGGCTGTCCTAGCAAGATAAAAATCTGCAAGATTTTTCATTGCAATATCAGTTCATCTGCCATTTGGCACAGGGAAGCCTATGAAGTAAAATACTAGGCAAACATGAGGAAACATGACTTGAGGCAAATTTAGTCCATGCTAGAGAAAGCTGAAACTGCAGGATGCTGCTTGTCAGGACATTAATGGTTACAGTTTTCACAAATTTAAGAACGTGCTTCCTGCTGACTCTAAGATGAATCCAAATATAATGGCCTAATAAAATTATTAAAGTTTCCTATAAATAAACTGAATGGTGGATTGGTGGTGAACCAGTGCACTATATACTAGAACAATGTTGATCAGGACTATATATGTCTATATCGATTTTCTTTTTCTAATTGTTATTTTCATCAATCATCTTAAGTTTTAGCTTCCAAATCCATAAAATATAAGTTGAAATGGAGGTACTGCAGATTGGGAAAAAAGTTGCAGAGAGAGAGAGTGCGATGAGGAATTCAACATCAAAGCATTCTGATACTTGGCAAAGGCCAGGAAGAGAGAGTGGTAAGTTTCCGTTATAATGAAAGAACTTATAGCTTAAACTAGGATGAAAGCCACGAATTTGATTCCACTGCGAGGTTGTGAGAAGGTAATTTTTCATGAATTCACCAAGTCTGTTATAAGTAAACCTACTTAGTCCGGTTTAGAGGGGATTATAGGGTAAACTCCAAGAACCCCTGGCCTCTTAATAAAAAAAGACTAGGATAAAAGCTCTTGAAAAATATTACCACTCTTTCTTTTCTGATGACATAGCCATTGGTTTAGCTCAAGTTTTAAAAAAGTAGGATCTAGTCCAGGGAATTTTTGGTTCAAATCTTATTAATCAAGTGCCTTATCCAAATCAATGTGCAGACTTGTGAATGGTTCTCATTGAGAAGTTATGGGGCAACCATTCGCAGAAGTGGGCTGCATTTTCATTCAAGTGCTTAAAAGTGAAGTGAATGTTAAATTCCACTGCTTTTAACAGCAAAGTGAATGTGTTCAGGAAAAAAATGTTAAATTACATCAATTAGAGTACAATTTTTCTAATTCTTCAGGATTTATAAACAATATAGGAGCCAAATGGAACAATATTTTTGTTAATTTCTCCAAGGTTAGGTCAGGGCAGGCAACGAGGAGTGAACCATAGAGAAAGTTACAAACACTCAACCTTTTCAGCCCATACAGATAAATTATTTCCGTGCCGCTAACAGTAAATCGATAATATCGGGGAGAAGGAACCTACTGAGATTTACAATATACAAACAACATGGCGAAAAGCCGCCGAAGTCTCTACTCTCAAGGCACCTTCGGTTGATGGCTCTGGTTGCGTTTCAAGAAACATGAGGGATTCTTTTCACCTTTCAAGTTCTGTGCAACTACAAATATTTTTCTATTTGATGATTGGGAAGCACCAGTTTAAGTTTTACCTGCTTAAAAGGATAACCACCTTGAGAATTTTGCTAGAAGCTAATGTCTGCATGTGCCTAAAGTCACATGCTGAAAGCCACTCAATGCCATAATTATGCGAAACAGTGCTCAATAATATTTCTTTTCCTTATTTTAAAAATAACTTCAACTTTTCTGACAAACTAGTTAACTCCCTACTCAACTTGGAGAACTAGCATCCTGTGGTTTCCCATGTTCTAGGAGAAGTGGATCAACTGATATAACCAGCCTACTGAGTTCAATGGACTCTTGTCTAAAAATTTAAAAGTTTCACCTTTTGAAAAACGACCATTGCTTGCATACCATATTTCGTGAATGATGCAAGCGAAAGACACTGATACCAGGGAACATCATATTGCATTGCATATTAATTGTCAAAAGGAACTGAACAACCTTCATTCAATTTTTTACCTATCAGATGTTGCAAGGATAACAGCAGATGGCATCTTGTATAGGTTTTCGCCACTGGACGTTTTGGTTTTAAACATAGGCGAAACACCTTAGTGGGAAAGGACTACACCTGCATCCACAGGCACCAACAGATCTGCACAACTCTGAATGACATAATTGATAACGCCTGGCATTGCATGCAAAACATGGAACATTTTGTAGAAAAATGTTATCTTTCATCATAAATTACTTATGAATATGAAGGACTAAGTTTATTCTCGAAGACACTAACTGTGCATGTAGAGAGGTGTGGGGGAGAGTGCCTGTAAGTGAGCCAAAAAGTGAGTGAAGACAAGAGAATTTCCATTCTTATCTCTAATATTTAAGGCAGAATAAGAACAAAATTATTAAAGCCATAAAACAAGACATAGCTGCTTCAAAAGTTTACCATATAGCGCCTTTGAAATTCAGGGTTTTCCCTATATTAAAAGAAAATTCAGGGTTTTCCCTATATTAAAAGAAGCAAAATGCAGAATGATAAGTATGCAACTTCCATCAAGTACAAACTACAGAGTATGTCACATACCATCACATGTATAACAAAATTAACATCTTTATGTTTTTTACTGTGTAAACAAGATATGAATCAGATTCAAACATACATATCAAAGTCCAAAATTGAATGTTAGCATTATTTTTCAGCACATGTGAAAGCTCATTGAAATTTGGTTACACAATGGAAGTTAGCCCCAATCCATAACTCATAAACCTATCTCCCTGAAACTCGAAATCAAGACCTCTAAGTGGAACGTTTAAAGTTTCTAAGAATCACAGTATCCAATGGATGAAAAATGTTAGAATTATTACTACTGATTTTTAAGCAATGGTTTGAATACCCTTTTAACATTGGCAAACTTAAGTAAATCCCTCTAAATAATAAAATACAAAACGAAGCTTAAAAATACCAAGAAACCCTAATTCATATAAACGAAATTAGACTTGAAATTCAATACAAAATGCCGCATGCTTAACTCCAGCTAGAGAATCTAAACAAACAGAAATAAAAGCAAAGTTAATAGTGAAATGCCCCAACGCTCAAACGATCTGAAAATATATATATATATATATATATTTCATGTGAAAAGAGATAATATAAACTCAAAAAAAAAAAATCGAAAATAAGAGACTAACGCGTAATAACCCTTGAGAGAGAAAGAACAAACAAACAGCAAAACCAAAGTTTTTATATTTAATTTTTTTAGCTTTTTGGTACATAATATTTTCCTCTAACTCCAAGATCCAACTATAAATTGATTCAAAGTTGGTTTCCTTTTCATGCTTTACAAGCTTTTAATATCAACCGATTAATCTTTGAATTTGACACCAACCAAACACTCCCATAGTAATTCTTTTTCAGGAAAAAGAAATCAATGGATATATAAACAAACTGGGAATGTTGTTTCAATAGTTTGCTGCTGTTTTAGCAGTATGTTACATGCTTCCGTTGTAGTAGGCAAGCCCACTTATTTGGATGAATAAACATAATTATATAAATCAACTGATTTAAATTTTAAGTTTTTGCAATAAGTTTGCTGTCTTCATTTGACAAATTTTAGATTTTATTCAGTTTGATGATATCAATTATTTCCAAGAACGACCTTCATTTCATAATGTTCATTTATTTTCAACTCTGTCTAAACTATTTGGTTATAATATTGTTTTGTTACTCCTAATTATTTCAAGTGAAACTTTGTGGAGGGCAATTGAGCAGTAATCATTCTAATTGCTAGTAGTCCACTAGTTCGTTTTGATGTCATTTTTTCTAACAATTCCCCAGCATTGTGCTAGTCTCCATGCAGACATGGAAATATTTTATGTTAAAAACTGTTTTGAAATCAGTGTCTGATCAGATTTGAAGTAAATTCTCCTCCCTGAAATTATTGGATTATGACTTCCTTGCTTGCTTGTCTCTGGTTTTAAATTTTATGAAGTTACTTTAATGTGAGGCATGGAGCTTTATGTAACAAAATATAAAAGGCCTTTTTAGAGTACTTGAGAGAAAGAAGCATCAGCATGCGTCGAGTTTAAAAAAGTTATAATTTTTGGATAGAATAATTTTCCTTCCAAATTAATTATATATCAGGTGGTATAAAATTGATTTCTAAGGATCAAGTAATGGAGAAGAGAATGATAAGTTTGGTTTACCACAAGTTCAATGCAACTGATTTAAGTGCCTCATTAATTTTAATTAACTGTGATCAATGAATCAAAATAATTATAAAATATTGACAAAAAAACATGTTTAGGGTTTAATTATTATAAGAGAGATTAAATAATAATGTGACATTGAGTCCCAAAGAAAGAAGAGCAGGCCAAATCTTGAATTGAAATTTGAAATCCAAAGGCAAACAAACCAACGACAAAACAAAGAATAATAACTCACAAACAAGGTCATATCACAACTAGTTACAAGCCTACATCACAATACAAACAATCAGGGCACAACACGTGGCAAGCCAGGAACACCCTGGACTCAACTGTAGGGAGTACATGAAGAATAGTTTAGTCCAGCCACCACGATAGTCGAATCCAATGCCCTGCCATTCAATAATAACTAGGAATTACGAAAATTTCTAAATAATGCTAAATTAACCAACACTTGTTTCTACTTACAAACATGTCAAAAATTAGTTGTTACCTAGCAAATCGTCAGATCGATCATTCCTTTGATGATGAGATTTCATTGCCATCAATCTGTATTTTAGAGACATGAGCAATCTTGGCCCAATCCTCCCCCATTTCTGGTTTGCATCTTTTTCCCAAAATCGAACTTCCTTGGATTTCCAATTCTTTGAGGCGTGGAATTCGCTCTGGCAGCGATGATAACTTTGGGCAATCCTCAATTTTTAAAAATTCAAGTGATGTGAGACCTTGCCTCTCTGGTAATGTTGTGAGATTCTTACATCCCACAAGTCTCAAGGCTTGCAAGGTGTCAGCAGATCTTAAAAGAAGCCATTGGGGTAGTGTCTCCAACTTTGGTAACCATCCAATGATCAACGTTTGAAGGCACAACCCATTGCCTACAAGGTAATCTTGATTATCATCTTCTTTTTCTCTCCCTTCCAATCCCAATGTCGTATTAAGATCAAGCTTTTCACAGTCCCAAATTATCAAATGTTTTAATGCGGTTGAAGATTTCAAACCATGCGGCAGTGAGATCAAGTTTTTGCATTCATCAATCACCAAGGTATGAAGGGATGTGAGGTTCTGAATCCCTTCAAACAAATATTCTAAATTTTCACATTCTGTAATTCTCAAAATCCGAAGAGACTGCAAGTGCTCAAAGCCATTCTCAGATAGAACCCTCTGTCTTGTACTTATCCATAACACTCTGAGACTGACCATGTATCTCATATCTTGGGGCAACTCTTCAATTCCTTCACTATTGATAATCAGAGTTTCCAAACTCTGTAACTTACATAGGGAATTCGGAAGTTTCTTGATGTTGGAATTGCCGCTTAGGTCAAGACACCTTAAATGCTTCAAACTACCAATATTTCTTGGCAATACCTCAAAACTAGACCCTTCTAGATTTAGTACGCGCAAATTATGGAACCTTGAAAGGCATTTCTTAATAAAGGATTCACTGCTAGGGCCCTCTTTCATATTTTTGAAGCAAAATGTGCGCACATGACATAACTTATCAATATCAAGCAACTCAAAACGGTTTTCTTCAAGAAAATCCAAGTTGTCAATGCACAAATGTCGAACCCCTTGGGGAATATTTTGCTTCAAAGAGTTTACCGTGCAGCACTCATTCTTTGTCACTGCTATTGCAAGATCATGTAGAAGATCATGCATTTTAAAACAATTAAAATACAATTCTTTAACAAAATCTTGAAAAAAAGATCTTGATGATAGATCGTTCAAGTAACGCCTACCAATATCTTCAAGGTCTTCATTTTCATTGGAGGGTCGAAGCAAACCATGAGCCATCCAAAATTGGACCACCTCCCAATTAGAAAATTCATAATCCTTTGGAAAGACTGAAAGCAATGCAAAACATTGTTTAAGATGTGGAGGCAATTCATCATAACTCAATTTCAAAACAGGAAAAATGTTCTTTTCCTTTTCCACGAATTCCCACATCTCACTGTCTCTCACAAGTTTCCAATCATGCTCTGAAGTTTTTAAGAGAAGCAGGCTCCCAAGTGTCTTCAAAACCAAAGGAACTCCATTGCATTTTTTGACTATCTCTTCCCCGATTTTCACTAGGTTTGGATATTGATTCACTTCCCCTTTCTTGAAAGCAAATTGGAGAAACACTGACAAAGCTTCCTTCTCATCAAGACCTTGCAAATTGTGTGCTGGAATTGTGCCCATCATCTCTGCAATTTGGGTACCACGAGTGGTGACTACAATTTTGCTTCCGCTACCTCCTCCCACTAACCGCTGTTTCAATTCATTCCACTTCACAGGATCCTTGTTCCATATGTCATCTAGAGTGAGTAAATACTTTTTCCCAGCTAAACAATCTCTGAGGGCCTGCTGTAATTGCTCTAAATCCATGTTACTATAATCGACCTTCTTTGTAGCTTTAATCATTTTTATCATTAAGCGTTTCAAATCAAAATCATCTGAAACACACACCCACATTTTCAACTCAAAATGACTAGCCACACATTCATCATTGAACACCAACTTTGCAAGGGCAGTCTTTCCAAGACCTCCAATTCCAACTATAGGAAGGATAGATATGTCTTCCCCATCCGTTGGATCTCGCATTAAAGTTGTTATGATTTTTTGTTTGTCTCCATCTCTGCCAATGATATCTGCTAGTTGAACAAAGGAGTGGGTCTCTCTGTCCAAGCGTACGACATGGCTAGTGGCATCATGCCTTTCAGTGAGATGAAAGTTATTTTTCAAAGCAGCAATCTTAGCAAACCTCTCAGTAACTTTTTTAATCTTATGGGCCATCCTAAATCGAAAAGCAATTGGGTTTGAGCTTGAAAAGAAATTGCTTACCTTCTTTCCAATGCCTCTCTGTTTAAGAACTTGCTTCCGCAACGCTTCGATTTCAAATTCATCTAATACATCTTCCGCATCATAACAGGCATTCTTCAATTCTTGTAGCCAAACCCGCAGCTGATTGTCATGAGCCTGTTTTTCTTCAGCATCTAAAAGAACAGCTTTGATAGTAGTTAAAGTTGTCTCAAGCTCCCTAAGGTCACTCTGAACAGCCCAAGCGAAGCGAATTTTTGATAGGCAATATTGGTTAGTTTGGAAAGGAGGTTTTCAGCAATGTTAAAGGCGAAGGATTCAGCCATAAGTGGTGGGGGGAAAATGTTTTGTGCTAAGTCTCTTGCTGATAAGTTTTATTGATGGAATTAAACAAGAAGTAGGAAATGGAATTAACGAAAGAAACTGAAACAGATGGAATCGATAGATTTTCTACTCAATATCCTGTGAGAGACAAAAGAGCCGCGGTAAGTAAAATTCCCAGTTGACTTGGAAAGAAGAGTTTTGTCAATAGTGGAGGGCAGCTGGCATCCAATATATTTTTGATAATTTTTCATAACAAAAGTCTTTTTTGATAATTTTAAATTAGTGAGGGCCAGCTGGCAATGGCATCCAAGTAATTTTTTTTATAATTTTTAGTAATAAAAGTTTTTTTTTTATTTTTAAAAAGGGTAAAACTGATTCGTGAATGAATGATTTTCTTGTGGGTTTAGGTTACAGCAGCGGTTGGGTGTGTAAGTTAATTAAATACTAATACAACTTGACACATTATAAAAAATAACATAATTTCTACCATTGTAAAATAATTAATTGATAAGAGAATTTAATAAAATTAATGAGTAAATTTCATTGGAACAATATCATTAATCATTAGTCAGGAGTCTGGACAATATTTTTAGCGTTTTGAATCCTATCAACGACTAATGGAAATTTTGAATAAAAAGAAATTTGTATTTCAAAGACTAGAGAATGTTTTGTAATAAAACGGGGTAGTTTTGTTTTTATGAAAAATTGGACATTTTTTTTTTTTATTTTTAAAGGATAAGTATATTTTTATTTTTTCTTTTTACCTAATTTGATTAGTTAAATTGTTATCATTTGATTATCTTGATATTAAACTCAACAATTTGGTGTTTAAATAGATTTCTGCTTTCGATCTTACAAGCAGATCAGTTTGTCAATATTAATACATGCATATATCATCTTCACATAGCAATTTGATGTATTGTTTCATTCAATTTAAAAAGTATAAATTTGACAAAAATATAAACATGTACAAGAAAAAGTAGTTCTTATAAATTAAAAATTATTGTGTTTAGTACTATTAAAATTTTAATATTATTTTATCCGAAAGTAAAAAAATAATCATTCATATTGTAATATTTATGCAAGTTAATGATTTTAATATTTTTAAAGATAATAATTTAAAAAATATTAATTTTTTTACTATATTATAAAATAGAGTAATTAATTATTAAATTAACAAATATATTTATTTACAGATAAACTAATTTTTATAATATAAATTAAGTAAAAATATTCAAATTAAAAAATAAAATTAATTTATTAAAATCATATCTAAAGAAAAATAAAAAAGTTTATATATATAAAATATTAAAAAGTTTTAACAAATTATACAAATTATTTTTAAATTTATTGGAATGAATATTAGTTTGAAAATATAATAATTTATAAGATAAAATAACTATAATTTTGAGAGGAAGCAAAATTTTAATTCACATTGATATTAACTATTTGTTAATTTTACATATCATTTTACCTTAGTGATAAAAGTTTTTTACCATTTTGAATGATAATTAAATTACCCTAAAAGGCAGTGATCTAATCACTTTTCGGTGCTTCAAAATCATAACCATATAAAATCACCAAGGTAGTGTTTGTATCATTTTCAAAATCACTATGATAATTTAATCACCAATGTGAAGTTATTACCAAAGTGATCTTATCATTTGTGATCTATAATCACTTTATTTCGTTAAAAACCATTAATTCTTAATGATTAAAGATCGTTGTATTTAGTATTACTAATAATCAAACATTGTTCTGTTTGAAAACACTAAAATAATCATATACGTTATAATAGTTACATAAGTTAATGATTTTAATGTTATTTAAAGATAATAATTTGTATACAAAATATTAATAATATTTTAGTTACTTCATAATAAATATTATTAAATTATTAAATTAAAAATATATTTATTGATAGTAAACTAGTTTTTATAGTATAAATTATGTAAAAAATATTTGAATTAGAAAAAATAATAAATTTTAAAAATATATTAAAATACAAAGATTATATTATAAATAAAATTTAAAAATACATTAAAATACAAAGATTATATTATAAATAAATTTTAAAAAACTAAAAAATCACACAAAATATTTTTGAACTTGTTACAATAAATATTAGTTTGAAAATATTAAAATTATAATATAAAATAATAACAATTAATTTTAAGAAGAAATGAGTTTTTAATTCACATATTAAATGAGTAATATTAATTATTATTAATTTTACATACAACTTCATTTCGGTTATAAAAGTTTTCTACCTTATATCACCCTTCAAGGTAGTGATCTAATCAATTTCAGTAATTTAAGATCATTGCCACATAAAATCACTAAGTGATTACTAAATATAGTAATCTAATCAATATGCATAGATCATTATAATTTTTTTAGCAATCACCTTATATCAAATACTACCAAAATGTTTATTAAATACAATAATCTAATCACCATGATTTAAGGTAATTACCCTATATCAAACAACATGTTAATGTGAAAAATACTCTTTTACTTGTCGAAGTTTGGTAAAAAAAATACATTAACCCAATATGGTAATTAGTATCATTTTTAGGATCACCATAATAATGTAATCACCGAAATGATTTTATTAACAACGTGATATTATTCATGATTTAGTATCACTTTATTTGATTAATAATCATTAATTTATATGAATTAAATATAATTGTATTTGATATCACTAAAAATTAAAGATTATCTTATTTAAAAGTATGAAAATAACTATGCATATTATAATAGTTACACTAAATTAACAATTTTAATATTGATAAAAATAATAATTTATAAAATATAATAATATTTTTGTTTATTTTATAATAAAATATGATTTAATTATTAAATTAATAAATATATTTATTTATTAAGTAAACCAATTTTTATAATATAAATTATGTATAAAACATTTGAATTAAAAAATAAAAATAATTTATTAAAATCATAATAAAAAAATAAATAGATAATATTATATATAAAATATTAAAAAATAAAAAATATTTTTGAACATATTACGAACATTAATTCAAAAATATAAAAAATTATAATATAAAATAACTACAAATTTAAAAAGAAATATGTTTTTAATTTACATATTAAATGTGTAATATTAACTATTATTAATTTAACTTATTGCTTCATCTCGTTGATCAAAATTTTTTACCTTTTTAAATGAAAATTAAATAACCTTTCAAGGTAATGATTTAATTACTTTTGATAATTTAAAATTATTATCACATAAAATCATCAAGATATTTATCAAATACGATGATTTAATTACCATGTTTATATCACTATAATTTTTGAAGAGATTATTGATACCAAACATTACTCAAATGTTAATAGTTAAATAATTTTAAATGAAAATATAAATACATCCTTTGTTACTTATTAGTTATTTATTTTTCTACTTGTTTTTGTCTTTTTTTTTCATTTTTTTTTTGGCTTTTTTTTAAATAAAAATGATAAGAATTTAATAATTTTAATTTTAATTAATTAATTATATTCAAATTCAAGTATATATTAAATATTTTAATTTTATCTTTAATTTAATATTTATTAACTTTGAGATGAATGTATTAAATTATATTTATTTTAAAATAAATCAATTATCATTATTTAAGAAAAATGTTTAATGATAGCGAAATTGATTAAAATAAAAAAAAAGAAAGGAGAAAAAGTGTTATTCATGAAGTTTTATTGAAAATAAACGTATCTTTATTAGTTTGTCGACAAACAGATTTTATCTCTATTAAAAAAGTAATCACTGTTATTATTTAATTAGTCAAATTAATATATATTTTTAATTTTACTTTAAATATTAAAAAATCCTCATTTGACACGTACTTGAGGTACAATATAATTTTTTAGGTAAAAAAATGATAATTTTATAGTAAATAAATATCATTTTAAAATTAATTAAATTCTCATAATTTTATAATTAAAAAAAGTCTTCGGTAAAAAAACAATGAAAAGAAAAAAAATGAAATAGAAAAATTAAATAATTAATAATTAAAAAAGTATATTTATGTTTCCATTTAAAATTATTTAACTATTAATATCTCACCATATATTTTTTTACCAAATCTTAAGGACCAAGGATCCATTTGAATACTATGATTCTTGCATTACCCAATATTTTACCACTTTTTGGGGGGAAATTGTGCTGTAATTGTTGTCCAATGCAATATTTATTTTAAAAAATGTCCATACTTTAAGTTTTTTTTATCTCTTTTTTATCCTCTTAGGTATAGTGTTGGGACAACAATGTCCTTGCCATTTAAGACCTTTCCTTTTTCATTTTAAAAATTTTTTAATTTAAAACTTTTTAACTAATTTTATTAATTTATTATAATAAATATATTATTATATTAAATTATTAAATAATTGAATACAAAAAAATTAATAAATAATTGAATAACTAATTCTAATTATTTTTAATTTATTAACAAAAATATTATTTAATATAAAACATTTAATAATTTTTAATTATTTATTAATTTCACAAGAGGAAGGATCTATATATGCAAGTATAACTTTTATATATATATATATATATATTTGATCCAGTGGATCAAAATTAAATTCATTATTAATTTGAATCAAAATAATATTTTAAATTTAATAATTTTGATCCAAGAATTTTTAAAAAATGTAAGAATTACATCAATATAAATGGAGCTCTACTCATTTTACAAATATAAAATATTATAAATTCTATTATATACAAATTTTAATATAATATATTTAATAATTATTTATCTTCTCATTATAATTCATTTTATTTTTACCATTACATTTGCATCTAAATACATATATTCATTATTGATTTTAATTTTATCATTACAATAATCAATTTTATAACTACAATAATTAATCTCCTCTTCGTTGTGATTTTTAATTTTATAAAAAAAGCCCATTTAAATTATACCCTAAATGGTTAAAAAGGCATCTTTCAAACTAAAAGTCATAAAGGAATTTCCCATGAACCTCGTGGAGTCAATGCTACTTTCACTTTTCTTCTTTCTTTAAATTTTCTATTCTATCTCCTTGTTATAAATTTATTTCTTTGACATTACATGAAATAGAAATTTGATTACATTAAAACAACATACTTTTTGCTTTATATTTCTTACTTCCTGTTGCTCTGGAAAATTAAGAGATTAATTACAATAATCCTTTCTTCAACTATTGAGAATGAGAATTTGGAGCTCATTTCCCTTGTATGGTTTCAGAGAATTACTTAAGAGATTCAAATTGTTTAGAAATTCTGATAACTTATCGAAACTGGGATTCACACCATTTTTCGTTAAATTGAAAAATATCTGCTCAAGATGTTAAACATTACAATTACATCATATACTTTGAATTTGATCAATAATACATTATTTGAGCTCCAAATCTGACATCTCTATTCTGGCTTGTGAAGATGATGAAGGATGTATAAAGAAGCAGATGACAGGAAAATACATACAGAATAACTAAGTAGATCCGTACCAGTGGCTATTGTCACCATCTTGCTTCTTTCAAACATCTTCACTAAAAGAATCATGACTATAACATGTCCCACTTTAGTCTTTAGTTCATCCAGGGAACTTATTTTCATCCATTTTGGCCTCTCCTGCAAACCAATACAATGATTTAATCAGTGTAGCACTTGAAAAATGGACTTGGAATTAAGAACCAACAGAAAAGTAGAAAAGAACGGAATGTGCAAAATTTGTAATACTTTTTTGGTATATAGAAGACCATAGCATGGGGTTGCAGCATTGGGATTCGAACTTTAGACTTGATGGATGCCACCTCTTCAGGATGGCTGCATGAGCTAAACTCCGAGTTCAAAATTATATAAGACTTGATTGTTGAATAATGATCAATATTTGAGATGCTATATTGATTAGTGATCTATTTACCATGCTCAGATCAGCTTCCATAACAAAGAGCAAATATTAGTTTGGAAGCAAGGGTTGATCCTTGGCCTTAATGGGTTAAGATTATATTGAATTTATCCATGGAATATAACATGTCGTCGAGGTAAGCATGGTTAAAACTGGAATATCAAGATGACATGATCATGCAAGAAACGGTAAAGCAAGAAACGAGGTTAATAAAGCAGTATTGGTTGGGGATTCCTAATCAAATATTGAAGGCTGTTACCTTCAAAGCAAACATTCCAAACAAAGATGAGCCTTTGAGGGCACGATCAACACCAGCAGGCACTTCTGGATTCACATTACTGATGAATAATCCATACAAGCCCATACCAAATATTAACATGACCGTCCCAGCAAGATAAACATCTGCAAGATTATTCATTGCAATATCAGTTCATCTGCCATTTCGCACAGGGAAGCCTATGAAGTAAAATAGTATGCAAACATGTGGAAACATAACTTGAGCCAAATTCAGTTCATGCTAGAGAAAGCTGAAACTGCAGGATGCTGCTTTTCAGGACATTAATGGTTACAGTTTTCAAAAATGTAAGAACCTGTTTCCTGCTGACTCAAAGATGAATCCAAATATAATGACCTAATAAAAATATTAAAAATAAACTGAATGGTGGATTGGTGGTGAACCAGTCCACTGTATACTAGAACAATGTTGATCAGGATTATATATGTCTATATCGATTTTCTTTTTCTAATTGTTATTTTCATCTATCATCTTAAATTTCAGCTTCCAAATCCATAAACTATAAAGTTGAAATGGAGGTACTGAGAATTGGGAAAAAAGTTGCGGAGAAAGAGAGTGCAACGAGGAATTCAACATCAAAGCATTCTGATACTTGGCAAAGGATGGCCACGATCAGACAGTGGTAAGTTTCTGATATAATGAAAGAGCTTATAACTTAAACTAGGAAGAAAGCCACAAATTGGAATCCACTGCAAGGACATGGAAGGTGATTTTTCATGAATTCGCTAAATCTGATATAGATAAACCTACTTGGAGCGGTCAAAGAGGGGCTTATTGGGCAAAGTCCAAGAACCCCTTGCCACTTAAATAAAAACAAAAAACTATAGGATAAAAGTCCTTGAACAATATTAGCACTCTTTCTTTTCTGATGACATAGCCATAGGTTTTGCTCAAGTGGTAAAAAGTGGGATTTAGTCCAGGGAATTTTTGGTTCAGATCTTATTAATCAAGTGCCTTATCCAAATCAATGTGCAGACTTATGAATGGTTCTCATTGAGAAGTTATAGGGCAACCATTCATAGAGGTGGGCTGCATTTCCATTCAAGTGCTTAAAAGGGAGAAAAGAAAACAATTTCAACTTAATTGAGACAGATCCAAACAACCCTTTTCAGTTAACTTTTAGAGAACTTACCAATTGCTTCAACCAATCGTAAAACCATCTTCCCCGTGTGAATCCCTTTAACACAGCATGTCCAATAGACTTTGTAAGCATCAACTATGTAAACACAACCCTGCAAAAGGTCAGAACTAATCATTAAGCGTATTTCAGTTAAACAGGCATGTTTTATCTTCAAAATAAAAGGAAACTCTTGGCTTCCCATGCAATATCAATAAAACAAAAATGCTGGGAATTAGAAATTACATTTAGAAAGCATAACAGTGAACCGGCCAAGGAACCTCCAACAGCCAGAAGTGCCAAAAATCGGAAGTCAAAAATTGTCTGCAGAACAAGAGAATTTTTTAGTCTATAAACTATCATATGCTCCAGAATTAGTTAACAGCGAAAATCTCAAACAGAAATGCAAATGTATAAATAATACCTTTTCAATGTTGGACTCAGTTGAACGAGCAAAACCAAGGAAGGGGTTACCATTAGGATTGGCTACCGCATAGTTAAAGCTGCTAGGATCATGGGGTCTCGATGATTCAATAAAGGGTTTTGGCTGTTGGGTTTTGGATGAAAGAATATTTTCACTACTTGAAGCTGCTACTGCTGGTGACGATGATGATGGGTCAGAGGAAGAAGAGGAGCTTAACGTAGCAAAAGTAGGGGAACAATAATGACGGCGGTGGAAAGTACAGGTTAAAGGGCGGCGAGTAAGGATGGAGATGGAGAGTGGATGGCTAAACACTGAAGCAAAAGAGACAGCCATGGGAGAGAAGAAAGAGAGAAAGAAAAGGGAAAGATTTTTCTTTGGATATTTCAGACTAGACAGAGGTTTTATTGTGTGGTATTCTTTGTTATGTGTGTGTGTTTTTTTCCTTTAGTACCGTTCGTTGTTTTTTCCATGACTTAGAAACTTGGTGTTGGAACCATGGATGGCGCGTATAGTGGGAGATAACGGTAAGCTACAAAAGTTGGTTGGGGCCCACGTGAAAAGGTTGAGGAGTTGGGGCTTTATCACAGCCTTACATTGGTAACATTGCTGCTTTTCTTCGTTTTGCTTTTGGAATTTGGTGTTTTTTAATGGTAGTTTGGATTTTGGACCAACATGACAATACTCACGTACTTTACACAAAATTTAACATACTCTTAAATAAAAAATGCCAGAAAATTACAAGTAAGGAAGGCTGGTTTTCAGATAATTTAAAATATGATAAAAATATAAAAAAATATAATTTAAAATTTTAGTAATAATTATATATAAATTTAATAAAATAAAAAATATATTTTACATTTTTATATCAATATGAATTATAATATATAATTTTTATATCAATATAAATTATAATATATAATTTTTATATAAATTTTATTATTTTATACAACACTAACCAAATCTAGCTTTCATCTATCTAATTTTGATTGTAATAACAGAAAAAAATAGCTAAGACAATATTTAGTGTAATCATCTATAAGTTGAGATTAATAAATTATGTCATACAGCAAATCTATAATTTTAAACAAAATACAATGTTATAAAATTAAAACTATATGAAAAATATATAAAAGTAATACAGTTTCAAACTTTTAAAAAAATTATATATGAATTTGATAAAAATTAAAAAAATATGTTTTATGTTTAGAATATAACATAAATTGTGATACAATAATTTTTATATTTATATATATATTTAATTTAAATAAATAATAAATAAATATGAATACACAAATTATTAGATCTATCGTATAACATTAGTTTTCTTTTATTCAATTTCGTCTTAGTTTGGATCTTAATTTCATCTTATCGAGGGGATAAATTGTTTGGTGAAAAATCAGTGCAATGGCTGCTGCAAGATTTTCATAGAAATTTTTATTAACAGTTCTTTGTTATTTTATCTCATCTTCCATGCTTAAACTGTAGATTAAACAGTTTCTTTAGAGACATTACTAATTAGTTACAAGCCTATGGAGATCATTTATTGCTTTCAACTTTATATAATAGCAAGCAACCAATGATCTGATGCATCTTGTGGAGCAATTGTGATTATAGTTTTTTTACAAAAAAGGTCGTAATCTGAGGATAGGATAAGGGGTTGAAGGTGCTAAGATTTAAACCAAAATCTGATAGATGTTAAATAAAACCAATTATCAATGATTCCTTCACCATTTCCACCTTCAACAGTCCCCCCGTTGTTAAAATCATCATTTTCACACTTAATGATCAGTGGAGCTCCACAAAGGCCTGGATTTCCATCAAAAGATGATGCATCAAAAGTTGTCAGATGCCCCACATAAGGGATGGCCCCTGAGAAATAATTATTGGATAGATTCAAATAAGCCAAAAATGATAGTGAAGACAATCCTGAAGGGATTGCACCAGCCAGATGATTTCTCGAAAGGTCAAGAGATGATAATTGATGCAAATCTGAGATATTTCCAGGGAAGTCACCCGTGATATGGTTTCTTGATAGGTTCAAAACAACCAGACCTGACAGTTTGGTTAATGCTTCAGGAAAATCCCCATTTAACTTATTTCCAGAGAGATCAATGCTAGTGACAAGGGAAAGAGTCTTGGTAAACTGTCGACTTTGGCCTTTTGGACTGATAATCAAGCTTTCTTCATAATATAAGCCTCTGTACTTCCCATAGAGTAGGTACTGGATTGTGTTTTGCTCTTTCACCATTGCTTGAAGATCACCAAGGCTTGCTGGAATGCTACCAGTCAAATTGTTGTCCGCTAGGTCAAGGATTTGCAGTGAACTCAAATTTGACAATGTGGAGGGGATTTCACCTGAAAATAAATTTGATCTTAAACTAAAAATTCTGAGAGCTGAAAAGCCATCTCCTATCCAAAGGGGAATGTTGCTTGATAAGTTGTTATTTCCAAGATCTAAGGTTTCTAAACTTGATAAATTCTTAAAAGATGCAAGGATGCTTCCTGTGAGGTTGTTGTTGTTTAGGTGCAAAGACTGAAGTTGTAGTAACTGACCCAGAGAATCAGGAATTAAACATGAGAGATTGTTGTTTCCAAGGTCTAGAATTTTAGGTAAGAACAATTCCCAATGCTTGAAGGAATGCTTCCAACTAATTTGTTCCTTGAAAGATCAATGACTTGAAGAGAAAGCATTCCACCCATGGATTTTGGGATTCCTCCCGTCAGTCGGTTACTTGAAAGAGCGAGAAAGATCAAGTTTGGCATGGATTCACTCATATCTTGTGGGATGCGACCAGAGAATTGATTGTTGGATAGGTCTAGCAACTCAATCTCTACAGTTGGAAGAGGAATGGGTCCTTCGAAAAGGTTTGAGCTGAAATCAACATCCGCAAATGGAGCAACATTTAAAGGATTTGGTAGCTGACCTTGTAACTGATTGAAAGAAACATTCAACAGTGAAAGGTTCCCAGAAATATCCCAGAACCAGTTTGGTATGGAATCTGAAATGCTAGCATTTGAGAAATCTAGAAATTTGACCTCCTTTTGAGATCTAAACCAATTTGGAAAGGAAGGACCCAAATTGCAAGAACCCATATCAAGATTGCGGACTTGGAATGGTGGGATCCAATTGGAACTGACATTAAGAATGAAAGAATTGGCAGACAGATGTAATATCTTCAGCGTACTTAGCATTGTAAAATGACCTTCGGATATAAAACCTGTCAAATGATTTGAAGAAACATCGAAGGCAGTCAAACCAGAAAGCAGTCCAAAGGAATCTGGGAGAGTCCCATTTAGTTCATTGCTTCCGAGACCAACATCAGTGAGGTTTGACAGTTGGCCTAAAGAAGCAGGGATAGGACCTTCAAGCAAATTATAGTTGAGACTGAGTTCTAGCCATTCTGGCAATGTGCCAACTAAGTGGTTGTTGCTCATTCTCAAATACATCAAATTTGGAAGCGGCTTATTTGAAACACAATGCTGAAGGAACCGGGGCAAACTACCAGTCAAGTTATTGCCTGACAAATCAAATGTCTTTAAACTACAAAGTTTACCAATGGAGCTTGGGATCCCACCCTCAACATTGTTGTCAGACAGATCAAAATTTGAGAGAGATGTCATGTTCCCAATGGAAGCGGGGAGCTTTCCATGAAATTTGTTTGAAGCTAAATTGAGAACTTCAATCTTCTTCCAACTTCTCCTCAATACAGATTAGAATTTCCGGCAAGATTAAGATATTGCAAATTTGGTAGTTCACCAAAATCAAGTGGAATTCTTCCAGACAGACAATTATTGCTTAAATCCACATAAGTAAGGCTGCTGATATTCACCACCCAGTTAGGGAACTCACTGAAAGAGTTCAAGCCAAGGTTCAGAACAGAAAGGAAAGTTAAGTTGACAGGGTTAAGAGATGAAATGGAACCAGAGAGCTGACATTCTGAAAGGTGCAACTCATTCAGAAATGAAAGTCTATTCAAAATCCCAACCAAGCCTGAACCTACCATGGAAAGATCAACTTCATTCATAGCAAGATGTTTTAAAGAAACAAGACCAGACACCCATTCAAGACTAAATGAGCTTAACCTCCCAAATTTAGGAGAAACATCAAGAAACTGCAAGCTAGAGAGATTTCCAAGACTTGCTGGAATTTCACCACTAAAACCAGCTTTTGAGAGGTTCAGATATCTCAAATTATTCAATGATCCCAGGAATTCAGGAATTGAGATATCACTGAAGGTGTTCAGACTCAAATCCAAATATTGCAAGGACTTGAGCTTTCTCAATGAAGGACTGATATCACCACTCAAGTTCCAAAAACCATACCTGCTTGAAGATTCAGAATTTATAGGGTAAGGATTGTGAAGATCAATCGTGATGACAGCCTCAGTGCTATTGTTGCACCCAATTCCATGCCACTGACAACAGTTGCTTCCTTGCCATGAGGAGAGCCTGTTTTCAGGATCATTAAGGCCATTTTTGAAGTCCAAAAGAGCTTCAAGTTCTGATTTGGAGCAATCTGCCCAGTGGGAATCTCCAGTGCAAACTTATTCACCTGTTATGACACATAGAACTGCCAACAAAAGGCCAAGAACAGTAAAATTTTCCATTTTCAATACAAGTCTCAAGCAGTGAACCTAAATAATCATCAGCTCCTCAATATAAGGTCTGCATTTTTTTCTTGATATGCAAGAAATAAAAGATTTTCCTTTGATGGAGGTTCCTGGAAAGAATAACTAGAAAACATGAATACCTTTTGTTAAATGAAAAAAGGCTATATATATATATTTATATACTATTTTCTAAGAGATTTGATAATGTTGTACATATAATATAAAATAAAATATTGGACAGGAATTTATTACACGCAAAAGAAGGTTGAAAATCAAAGATCGGTGAGGCAGCAACATACTAAGCATTTAGCTGTCAAGAGAATAATATAAAATTTGAAAGAGTTTCTCTTTGGTAAACAACTCGGTTTCAAAAGAACCGAAATCGGATGTCATGTTCCAAGCTCAGTTGCACAATCTTGGGATACGTGGGTATAACGTTAACGAGCAAAAGCTTCATGTAGCGTTGATTCCAAAGTTAACAAGCAAAAATATTTGACCATCATTGAGATTTGACTTATGGTAAATGCATAGATAGGATCATATCAATTGTTAATATGCTCAACTCTCCTTCACCTCTCTTTTTTAGATATGTTGATGTAGAAGCTAGCTGGATGTAGGATTGAACAATTGACGTGGTCTGTAACTGCACAAAGAAGGATCAGGAAGCATCTGAGGTCGTGTTAAATTGATTCTATTTTTTTTTTCAAATTCAAAATTTGATTTTAATTTAATATATATTTAATATTCAAAATTAATTTGAATCAAATAAAAAAAGAAAAATATATTCAAACTGACTATAATTTTTAATCAGATTTGAATTTTCTAAATTTTTTTCACCCCTAATTGCCAACGTTGCAGTTAGTAGCTGTTATAATTGCTGTAAAGGCGGTCAAGATCATTTATAACAATTATATGTTTTTATGATCAATTATTCTTATAAATGCATTTTTATTTTTCAAAAGGATATTTAGAACAAATTTTATTGTCATGAATTTCGATCAAGTTTTTAGTAAAATCATGTCACATATGGCAATTATTTGAATTTAATTATGACAAAAATAATTCATCTCAAATTTTTAAAATTTTAACTTTTTAAGGTTAAATACACCAATTTCAAAATATGATATAATCACACTTTAGTACGAAAAATTTGTTTCTTTTGCTTTTTTTTCGTATTTATTATTTATTTTCTAAAAATTTGCAAAAAAATGAAAAAAAAAAGTAAAATCGTATATTGAATAAAACTAAAATATAAAACCAATTCAAACATAATTATTCTTTATTAAATGAGAAAATTCATTTCATTCTCTGAAAATATTACTGCAGTATATAATTAATTTTTTTAGATAATTTTTTTAAAAAATAAATTGTAATTTTTTGTCTTTGGAAGTCGTGCCTTCACATTACGTGATCCATTTTGTCAGAAACAGAGCCTAGGAAAGATAAAACTCACTCTAGAGTTTTCTCAAACACTTGGTGGGTTAACTGCTCAATTTGAAGAAGACAATAAATTAATATATGAAAATTAAATAGATACATGAAAGAGGAAATTTACAATACATATTATTTATTGAACGTGCCTTAAATAAATAAAACACATTAACGTAAATAAACTGAAAAATAACAATTACTTGCAATCCTAAAGATCAAGAATAAAAATCTCACGTCAATCAACAAATTTATTAAGTAACTAGAGATTAAGCTAAAAGTAAGATTCGCAAAGACAATAAACTAATAGAACGTGGACAACTCAACGACGACAGCTCAACAAATATCTTAGAAATTATTACTCATTTCGTTTTTTTCTTGTTCAAATACATAACGGTCCGCTTAGCTTTTTCTTTAATAAACAGGACAAAGCCTTAGTCTCAGTTTTCCATCCACAGTAGCAACAGATAATAAGAAAATAAAGAGAGAGAGATGAGTGAAGCAGGGAAGGTGGTATGTGTAACAGGAGCATCAGGTTACATAGCTTCATGGCTGGTTAAGTTTTTACTCCAACATGGTTACACTGTCAAAGCCACTGTTCGTGACCCAAGTTAGTTCTAACCTTCAATCTCAGTGCTGACACGCATCATGCATTTTAATCTTTTTGTTGTTTTAATTCTTGGGTATATATCAGTTTTGTTTTTGTCATAAAGATGTTCGTTTTTGGATTTGTATGTCTTTAACCTATCTGGGTTGTTATGATTATGGATGAAAAATCCTTGTGTTGGTTCTTGAGAAGTACATTAGCCTTTCTCTATCTGTTTGAAGAAATTGATTGATCTTTCTGTGTTTCTTTTCTTTTTTATTATGTTTATAATCATAGCGAAGTTAATTGTATTTCACTCAAACATCTCATACTGTTTCCCTTTTCCCACTTTTCTTTCTGTAATGTCCTGGAATTGCCATATTATTTTTCTGATCCCTTGGTATAGAAATCCAAATTTATTTATTATTATATTTTAACTGATCACCCAAGTTTCAGCTGCTATATTTGGTTCTTAGGTTCAGTAAAAACTGGTATAGCAGTTTTTGCAATTGATGATTAATGCAATGTAGTTGTAATTAACTGTTCTATACACTTATTTATAGGTGATCCAAAGAAATCAGAGCACTTACTTGCACTTGATGGAGCAAAGGAAAGGCTCCATTTGTTCAAGGCTGAGCTACTGGATGAGGGAGCTTTTGATTCGTTAGTTGATGGATGCATAGGAGTTTTCCACACAGCATCTCCTTGTTATTTCAATGTCAAGGATCCTCAGGTGCTTTTCCTTCTCTTTCTAATTGCATATTTTCATGATTAGTGTATAAATATTTGCAATTAGGTACTAGCATTCTAATTCTTTTAGTAGTTTCTATTTTTTGGGACGTGGATGAAATGCCCCTATGCTGTTTATAAATGTCATTACAGATGAACTTTAGTAATTAAATTTGCTCATTGGCTATATGGTTCAACATGCTTTTCTACCACAAGTTTGTTCTTTCACATATTTATGCAAATCCCAGCACCTGTTTCTAAAAGTTGTGGTTTTTAGGGTCATTTATGATCTTGGGATTCTTTGAAGTTTGTAGTTTCTTTTAATCTTTTAAACTCCCTCTGGTTTTGCTTGACAATCGTTGCTGTAAGCAGCAATGATTTACTTGCCCTTTGAATCAACTTGCAAATGGGAAAGAAACAAACATGTAAACTCTCTGAATTTTGGTTCTGATTGGCTAGTGCTTGATTTTGCATGCTTATATTTTCAATTACCCAATGTTGCAATAGAATCCTGCTAATCGATGCATTCTTTGGCACTTTTGTAACAGGCCGAAATGATTGACCCAGCTGTGAAGGGAACACTTAATGTTCTTAGGTCATGTGCTAAGGTTCCATCTATCAAACGGGTGGTTATAACATCCTCACTTGCAGCTGTTGTGTTTAACGGAAGGCCTCTTGGTCCTGATGTTGTAGTTGATGAGACTTGGTTCTCAGATCCCACTTTCTGTGAGAAATCAAAGGTATGCTAATGTACTAACTTCTATAGCATATATCTCAATTCAAAAGATGTGGAACTTTTAAGTATATTATTTTTCTTAGGTTACCAAATGATGTCACGCTGCCCCATATGAGCAAGAGCCTGGATCTAGTCCTGCATTCTTAAGAATCATATGTAAACATTTCTTGTTCCTTTTTCTTCCTTGTCTTTAATCCAGTGGTTAATCAATTGTCTTTGTATAAAGAAATAGTTTTATTAGTTCAAAGCACCTAATGCAAGAAGTATGAACTATTACTTGTTAGCTTTTAGGACCTTTACTATCATTATCTGCGTCTGGATCTAAGAATTTGCAAAGGATGAATATTTAGTGATATGGTTAAATTCAGTTTTTTTTCTTCTTGTAATTAAAGAATTATATACTTTTTAGACATACTCAATTCCATTCTTCTGCTGCAGAAAGGACAATTTTGGGGCATGATAGAATCTTTTGTTTATCGTTTTTTCTTTTGTTTGTCATCAGCTTTGGTATATGCTTTCTAAGACATTAGCCGAGGAGGCTGCTTGGAAGTATACAAAAGAGAATGGCATTGACATGGTTTCAATAAACCCAGCGTTCACGATTGGACCTCTCCTACGGCCAATGGTTAATACAAGCGTGGAGATAATATTGAAACTTATTGAAGGTACTCTCTAACTAGATTTAGCAGACAGGGTATTATTCATTTTAGCAACTATTGCTGATAAAGTGACTAGAGAAGAGAATATCTGAATTCTGAATTAAGATTTTAGTTCTCTTGCTTAACTTTTTGCTTTAGCTTATTTCTTGTTTTTGAGCACAAAAAGCAGTACTAAACATCAATGCACTGCAAGTCTGAGCATTAATAATGTCAGAAAATAAATTGCAAAAGGGAACTGTTTTTATAAAAAAAAATGAGCCTAAAATGTTGTAAATTTAAGAGGAATTTCTAGAGCTTAAACAAGAAGAGTCTAGACATAGATCCTTTCACGCTGCTGACACTTATAGTATGAACTAAGCATGTTCCTTTGTGCATACAAGATCATGAAAATTGTCAGACTATGGAGACATGAAGGGTTATTGACTAACCATTTCTTTAAAGTTCAAAGTTTGGAGGTGCTTTGGATAAACTTTTGAGGAAGAGGTGGTAAATAGTAAACAATTTACTATGCTGGCTAAATATGTGTAAATTCAGGTTCAAGCAGTTTGAATAACAATAATCAAAGTGGTTATATTCTCTTTTCCAAAAGTTCCTTTAATTAATTGTATTGGAAATGCTTTATTGTTCCCCTCCATTGTCATTTATTTTGTCATTTTGCGACATATTCTCTATTTTAACAGAAATGGTGGCTACTTCTTACTGGGTAAATATAAAAAAAAAATAACTATAAGAAAGAAAAATAAGCATACTTTGAATAATTCTCTTATTGAGCAGCTTCTTGCAAATATAAAGTAATCAGTTCAAACACATTTCATGGATAACACTCGAGTGAATCTCTCATATTCTTTTGTTTTGCGTAACAAGCCTGCTTTATACTTCGGACATTGCCTTTTATGCAGGGCTGAGACATATTCCAAATACAACTTATAGATTAATAGATGTTAGAGATGTTGCCAACGCACATGTACTAGCATTTGAGAATTCTTCAGCTTGCGGAAGATACATTTTAGTTGAGAGAGTTATCCACTGCTCAGAAGTTGTGCAGGCTTTACGCGAGCTTTACCCTGATCTTAGTCTTCCTGAAAAGTAAGTCTCAATGATATGAACTTAATGCATGTAAACTTCTAATCATTGGCAGAAGCAACAGAGTTTCAATTATGTATCAGCTCTGCCTATTGTGTGTTACAATTTATGTTTTTATATATTTTTGTTCCATTACATTGCCATCCAATTTGTTTTTTTTTTTTAGATCTAATAACTTTAAAAAGGACATATTTAATAATCCTATTCATTTGTGCTCAATATGAAAACTCCAAGCCTTTTTTTTCCCTTTTTTTTTTTTTCTGTTTTTAGCGGCCAATCTCAGTTATAATAGAATGTTATTTGCAGAATCTGTTAGCCTATGTGATTTATTTTTTTAGCCTCATGCTGGGTTAGGGAAGGATTGTTTTTCAGTTGTAGCCTCCATATATTTTTTTGTTATAGAAGAGATTGTAATTTAAAATTAAAAAAAGAGATTATAAATATTGAATTTTGAATTTTGGACTAATTGAATATCAGTATGAACCAACGAAGTTAATATTTACGCATTATTAACAGGAGCTAATATCTTGGCAGATGCGCGGAAGAGGAACTAGGTGGTATGCCAGTGTTTCAGGTGTCCAAGGACAGAGCAAAAAGTCTAGGCATTAACTTTACCCCCATAGAGGTGAGTATAAAGGATACGGTTGAAAGCTTGAAGGAGAAAAACTTCATTTGAATCATGGCATGTCTCAGCTAGTCAATCAAATTACCATTAATAACTGGGGACTGCTTCTCTTTTAGGGATTATTTCATTAATACAAATGTTATATCCATATGCTGTGTTGGCTGCTGTTCGAGTTCTTGTCATGTTTAGTTGTGAGCTTGTAATAATCATCTGTAAGTCGTGATATGCACAACAAACATGTTCGTGTAAAATGCTTATTAGCTTTTGTTCAATGGAATAAGTTGTCCTTCCCTCTTTTCATTTTTTAATTAGTTATTGAATTAAAATTTTTAATAAAATAATTTATTTTTAATATTATATTTTGAATTATATTTTTTATTTCAATATTACGCTATTATGATGAAAGAATATTATAATATGGATATTAATATATTTTTTATTATATGAATATTGATATATGTTAAATTATAAAATAAAATATAAATATTTTTAAAAAATGAAAAATATAGCCATTAGCAATTATATAGTTTTATGAATAATTATTTTTTATATTTTTTGGCCATTTTATTTTTAACATATTAAATTTTGTTATATTTTGATTAAAATTATCATTTTAAACAAAATATAATTATACCGAAATTAACATTAATACATGTAAGAAAAAATAAATATTTTTTAAAAATTAGAACAAAATTTATCCCATAATTTCTCTCCTTTCAGAAAAAGAGAGAAGAGAAAATGGCGTCGGTAACATTAAAAAGAAACTACCGCTGCTTTGATTCGCTACAACAGTTCTACAGCGATGGGGCATTCGCGGTCTCATCGGACGGCTCTTTCATTGCGTGCGTGTGCGGCGAATCCATAAAGATTGTGGATTCATGAAACGCATTAACCAAATCGACTATAGAGGCTGAGTCGGGTACCATCATGGCCTTGGCTCTTAGCCCCAATGATAAGTTTTTATTCTCTGCTGGACATAGTAGGCAAATTAAGGTCCGGGACTTGGATACTTTCAAACGCCTACGCTCCTGGAAGGTCAGTGTTTTTTTTTTTTTTAAATTTTTTAATAATTTCTTGAAGAATTTAAAAAGTAAGCTCATTTTAAGTAAATCTTTTACTTTTTTTTTTTTTAAGTTCTGGCTAATGTGAAAACTCGAGTTCAAATAATTGTTTCTTGATTCTTTCTTTGAAAAATTTGAAGTCCTTGAAACTGTTCTTTTTTCAACTGAAGATGAATGACACATCAGAAAGGACCTCACTTTTTGCTGAGCTTACTTAGGATGTGGCTTTAATTTGGGTACAATGGCATATTATAATCCATATTACTGATTCCACATTGTGGGAGAAGCCTTAGTTGTTGTTCACAAACTGGGCTGAGCTTTTTAATGTTATGTTCACAAACTTGGGGGAGCTTTTGGCCTTTCTTTTATGATTTAATATTTAACTTTAGAATTGAGTAGGGCCATGATGGTCCCATAATGGGCATGGCTTCCCATGGCTCTGGAGGACTGCTTGCAACTTCAGGAGCTGATAGGAAAGTTCTTGTTTGGGATGTTGACGGTGGTTTCTGCACTTATTACTTCAAAGGTCATAAAGGTGTTGTGACTAGTGTTATTTTTCATCCTGACTTAAATAAAACCCTTGTAAGTTCTAATTCTAAAGTCTTTGGAACTGCTTTTTTGTTCTCTGTTTTACCCTTATGCTAGTCATTGGTTTCTACATTTTTTTTTTAATGTAATTTTGACTGATCGTTTTTCCCTGTGCAGCTTTTCTCTGGTAGCAATGATGCAACTGCACGAGTCTGGGATATTCTAGCAAAGAAGTGTGTTGCAGCATTAGAAAAACATTTCTCAGCAGTTTCTTCTATAGCAGTGTCTGAAGATGGATGGATTTTGCTAAGTACAGGAAGAGATAAGGTAGAGGCAAATGTTCTTTGACCTGGATATAGTCATTTTTATAAAAACATATTATACAGATTCAAAATTAGTTGTCTTTATTCAATGTTTTTATAGTTATCGTTCTCTGTCTAAATATATACAAATAGTAACAATATTAATTTTCAACCGAGGAAATTGCCTGAAAATGCCAATTACTTTTTTGACAGCTTTAATACTTATTGGGAAGCTCAACTTCCTTGATATCCTTTTAGTTTATATTAACTTGTGGTTTTTGTTTCTTCTTTCTTCTATAATTTTACTCCCTTCAATTGTTTCTCTTAACCGTATCTTGTTTCTTCTGCTGTCTGATGCTCACTAGTGTTTGCTATAATGATCTGGATTATCTTGCTAATGCTTTTTACTTTTGCCTAAATTATTGACGTGCTCTGTTTTATGTTATGTTTAGTGGTTTGTATAGCTCTTATTTCTTCTAATATAAAGAAAGTTTTTATCAGCTCAACTGCATTATCAAATTATCAACCAGAAAGCATTTTTTAGTGATCTCGGGTTGTAAATTTATGGGACCTTCATGACTATAGATGCAAGAGTATGGTACCAACTTATAAGGTGCTTGAAGCTGTGTGTATAATTTATTCTGGGAGTCATTTTACCTTGTCTCTGGGTGCATTCCATCAGCAAAGAGGAAAGAAGAAAAGTGGATCAACAGGAATTTATTTTATCACAGCTGGTGAACGTGGAATTGTTCGCATTTGGGACTCTGAAGGGTAATAAAATGGAAATCTTATTGTAGCACCTTGTTTAAAATTCTAGTTTGATGATCTGATATCCCTACAGGATTTTTTTGGTCATCCTTCTTAAGATACATGTCTTTATATTGACATATACTAAATAAATTTCTTTATTTTTTTCGTTGAAGGGTAATAAGATGGAAATCTTATTTAAAGTTTTAGGTTTGAATAATCTGAACATCCCTGCAGGGTTTTTTTGGTCCCCTCTGAAGATACATGTCTTTGCATTGACATATACTAAATAAATTTATTTATTTTTTTCATCATTTATTTTGACAGTTCAGTTTGCTTGTATAAGCAAAAGTCCTCAGATGTTACAATCAGCTCAGATGTGGAAGAAGATTCAACAAGGGGCTTCACTAGTGCTGTCATGCTGCCCTTGAATCAAGGACTGCTTTGTGTGACAGCTGATCAGCAGTTTCTCTTCTATTCTCCAGAGGAGCATCTTGAAGAAAAGTGGAATTTAAAATTGAAAAAAAGGCTTGTGGGTTTCAATGATGAGATTGTGGATATAAAGTTTCTTGACAAGGAGGAACAATATCTTGCTGATGCTACAAATCTTGAACAGGTGATTTAGTAAGCTTGCTAGTGGTGCATTGGATATTGCTCTACGTAGACATCAGTTATGCAGATGCTCAATGATTCAATTGTTAACTTGATTCCAATAATATTTGATTGATCCAACTGTAATTTCTTATCAAGATTGATTTTGTTAGCATGTTTCTCCTCAAAGAGACTTGTCCTGCATGCATGCATGAGTTTACAGACCCTTGCATTTCTTGTTGTGTGTGTGTGAGTTTATCTGTACTTTAAGAATTGTGGGACAACATTTATTTACAGCTCATTGTAATCTTGTAATCTGTATATTTATATTTGTATTTTTAGAATTAAGTATTTGTATCCCTAGAATTAATGACATAAAATTATGATAGACAATCCCTCAATTATAGGATCAATTTTTTGAAGATTTAGTTTCCTAGTTTACCCACTAGTTAGTTGTATATAAACCTAAGATGCTTATATAATTCTTAATGAACAGTTTTTCTATATTCATTCAGTTTTACTATTAAGTTTTTCACACAGTTTTATTTCTTAGTTTTTCACATGATATCGGAGCTTTAAGCTATTTTTGGGAAGCAAAATTTTCAGCCTTCATTGCTGACTTCTATTTTAGGCCTTCATTGCTGAACTGTGTTAAGGCCTTCATAGCTATTTTATTTTTTCCTTCTTTAGCCTTCATTGCTAAGAGTCATTTCTGGTTATATCTTAAGAGTTGTTTCAGTTCAAAGAAAGATATCACTACCGCCCAATTTGAGGAAGTGTCAACTGAAAAAATCTCCAAAGTATTATAGATGTCTCGAAAACAAGGAGAGTTGGACAGAGGAGATTGAGAAGCTGATAAGCCTATTGAAAACCTTTGAAAAGCCTATTGGGGTATGTTCCTTAGGTAAGGTCTCTAATTCAAGTAAAGCTTCTGGTTCTCGTGGATTAAATGTCTCGGTTAAGTCTATTATGAGTTCTTAGGTTATTGACTCAGGAGCCATAAACCATATGACACATTCCTCACAGAAGTTTAGTACATATACCTTGTGTCGTAGTAATAAGAAAATTGTTGTTGCAAATAGTTCACTTACTACAGTGATAAGATTAGGAGATGTTCAAATTAATCCCTCATTTGTTCTTAAAAATGTTCTTCATGTTCCTAGATTGTCTACTAATATGATATCTATACAAAAACTTATTAGAGACATGAACTACAAAGTGACTTTTTATCCTTCCCATTGTGAATTTCAGGACTAGAGTTCGGGGAAGAGGATTGGACTTGCTAAGGAAAAGGATGGACTTTACTATCTTGGGCCATTAAACAACATAAGTAATATCAAGAATAGTTTACCTTTGTCATTTCTTTATGAAAAATCTCCCAATAAAGACAAAATCTGGTTTTATCATTTTCGTCTTAGACATCTTTCTTTTGGAACTTTGAAAAACATGTTTACTTCTTTGTTCAAAAGATTAAATGTCGATAACTTTCATTGTGATGTTTGTGAACTTGTAAAGCATAGACATGTGTCTTTTCTAGTTAGCAATAAAAGAAGTTCTACTCTTTTTTACTTGATTTATAGTGACATATGGGGTCCCTCTACAATTCTTAATATTTCTGGTGCAAGGTGGTTTGTTTCATTCATAGATGATTATACTATAGTCTCTTGGATATTTTTACTTAAATCCAAATCAGATGTGAATAGTGTATTTTTAAGCTTCCAAAACATGATCCAAAACTAATTTGTAGTAAAAATCAAGAGTTAGGTCTGATAATGCAATGAACTATTTCAACTAGAGTTTATCTATCTATTACCAAAAGGAGGTGATTATCTATGAGTCATCTTGTGTTAATACTCCACGAAAAAATATAATGGCAGAAAGGAAAAATAGCCATTTACTAGCTACAATCTGAGCTTTACTTTTTCTAGCAAACATACCCAAATCCTACTGGGGAAGCTATTCTCATTGCTACACACATTACAAATAGGTTACCTTCAAGGGTTTTGGGATTTAAAGCCCCTATGGAACTACTCTCACAATTTTATCCCAGCTGTAATCCCGCAAACAACCTCACACTTAGGATATTTGGTTGTATATCATTTGTTCATGTTCACAGTTATAATAGGGGAAAGTTGGATCCTAGAGCAATTAAGTGCATTTTTTTGGGGTATTCATCAACTCAGAAAGGGTATAAGTGCTATTATCCTCCTATCAAAAAATTTTATGTGTTCGCAGATGTCACCTTCGAAGAAAGTAAACCATTTTTTACTCAATCTTATCTTCAGAGAGAGACTTTATTCATGGAAGATAAAGATAAAGACTTCTTTTTGCTTGACTTGTCCTCCTCTTCAACATTTTCACCTATTAATTCTTTTGAGTCTAAACTTGTTTCTTTTGAGTTCAAGTTAAATACTGAATTTGAGTGTGAACTCATTCCAAACACAGAAAATGTGACAAAGGATAATATTTTTCTTGCTTCTATGAAAGAATTATGGGTGAACTCAAGAAGGAAAGTTTCAGATCCTGAACCAGTGCAAGTCTATGAACTTGATCCTAACTCTGAAAATGAGGTAATTACAGTCTTTGACTCTGTTTTTCAAAATGAGCATGAATCTCCTAAAACTATAACTAGTGCTTATGATTTACTTATTGCCATTAGGAAATGAGTCAGAGAATATACTAAGCATCTACTATACCCAATCTCTAATTTTGTGTCATTTAAAAAATTCTCACCATCCCACAAAAATTTCCTTATGAGCCTAAACACTATTTTTATTCCAACTATATTATCCTAGGCATTATCCAATGAGAAATGGAGGCCTTAGAGAAAAATAAGACATGGGAACTGGTAGAGTTGCCTAAAGGAAAAAATTTAGTTGGGTGTAAATGGGTTTTCACTGTAAAATACAAAGTGGATAGTACTATTGAAAGGTATAAAGCCAGGTTGGTGGCTAAAGGCTACACTCAAACTTATAAAGTGGATTATCAAGAAACTTTTGCTCCAGTTGCTAAGATGAATGCAGTTAGGATTTTGTTATCATTGGCTGCAAATTACAATTGGCAACTTCAATAATTTGATGTAAAGAATACTTTTCTACATGGTGATTTGAAAGAAGAAATATATATGAAGGTTTTATCGAGATTTGAAGGTCCTCTAGAAGCAAACAAAGTATGCAAGTTGAAAAAGGCTTTATATGGCCTTAAATAGTCTCACAGGGCTTGGTTCAGGAGATTTGCCAAAGTGATGCTAGCAATAGGATATAACCAAAGTCAAAGAGATAACACATTATTTATCAAGCACTCTGATTCAGGGAGAGTCATAGTTCTATTTGTGTATGTTGATGATGTAATTATAACCGGAGATGATGAAAAAGAGAGAGAATCTCTAAAACAATGTTTGGCTAGAGAATTTCAGATAAAAGAGCTGAGGAGATTGAAGTACTTCATAGGAATTGAAGTAGCTCACTCACGGTATGGTATTTTCATCTCATAATAGAAATATGTGATGGATTTTTTTGAAGGAAATTAGGAAGCTCGCATGTAAACCTGCAAATACTCCTATAGATCCTAATCATAAACTAGGAGAAGCTAATTAAGATGCTGCTTTAGATAAAGAGATGTACCAAAAATTAGTTGTAAGATTCATTTATCTCTCACATGCTAGACCTGATATAGCATATGCTATGAGTGTGATAAGTCAATTTACATATAGTCCTAAAGAAGCACACCTGCAAGTTGTCTACCATGTACTGTACTATTTGAAGGCCAATCCTAGAAGAGATATCTTATTCAAAAGAAATTCGGGCTAGTTTTAGAGGCATATACTAATGCGGATTATGTAGGTTCTATAACTGATAGAAGAGCCATCTCAGGCTACTGCACTTTCTTAAGTGGTAATCTTGTGACTTGGAGGAGTAAAAAACACAATGTAATTCCCACTAATTCTTTTAATGAAGGTCAATATGACCCTCACGGGCTCTCGCTATAAAGTCTCTTGTTAATTATATATAACGAGGAATAAAACCCAACTCTCACTAGATGTATCATTTAGCGAGAGTTAAAAAACCTTTACTAAATGTAAATAATTAATGAAAGTCACTTTTGGCCCCCACTAAATGTAAAACCTATAGTGAAAGTCAATTTTAACTCTCATCATATCTTTTAACTTTAGTAAAAGCTTTTATTAACCCTCACTTAAAGTTTTTATTTTTAATGAAAGCTTGTATTAACCCTTATTTAAAGTTACTTTTATTGAGAATTGTGACCCTCACTATAACATTTTACATTTGATAGAGAAAAAGAATTATAATCCTGGTAAAAAATACTTATTTATTTATTTTTATTTAAATTATTAATAACTACATATATTTTTTATATGTCTAATTCTTACTCCAAAAAAAATACTAATAAAATTTTTCCAAAAAATTATTGCATAAAACCAAATAAGCACTTACACTAATTTTTAACAATATACAAAAATCTCTCAATATTGAGATAAGCACTTACACTAATGGCCGATCACCGGTGCTAGCCAATGCATCCTGCTTCAACTTTTATTATCAAAGCATGGAACAAAGACCAATGTATCTGTGAATGCAACAGTAAGTTCTCTCCACAGTTTCCATGTTTGAAATGTGCAAAGGTTTTAGCCTAATTATGCAACTTCAGAACTGGGAAACCAGATCTTGGAATGATAAACTATCACTTAGTCTTCAAATAAACTATGCAACATGAATGTAAAATACGTAAACATTTTTAAAACTTGCTTCTCATCGGCCTTCAACATTGGTAACAGTCACATCATTAATGGAGCATTTATTGTCATTATTTTGAGGGGACTCTACATCTACTGCAATATTTCTTTCAGTGAAAGCAGGTTGTTTTGGAGTAGAAAGATCTACTATCTCACTGTTTAGCATTGAAATAACAGCAGATATAGTTGGTCTATCTTTTGCATATTCTTGCACGCACAACAATCCCACATGTATGCATCTCTTTATTTCCTGATAATGGCATTGATCATAAACAGCTGTATCTGTTAATGCCAAAATGTTGTCTTCATTCCATAACTGCCATGCCTGAAAAATTGCATATATTATCTTATTGTGTGAAATTGTTTCCTTTGAAAGTTTAGTCTATTATCATTGAAACAATATAAAACTTACATATCCAAGTAGGCTAGAAGAATGCTCATGGTTATAAAAGCTCGTGTTTCTTCTCCCATTAATAATCTCCAGTAGTAAAACCCCGTAGCTGAAAACATCAGATTTCTCTGAATAATGTCCTTGCATTGCATATTCAGGAGACATGTAACCGCTGCATATCAATATCAATGGAGCCATATTTTAGAACATAGAGTAATATTGTAGTTTGCTTAGCTCCTCAAAGAAATGGCTACTTACTATGTTCCTACTACCCTTCTTGTGTTAGCTTGATTTTCGTTGCCTCCGAAAATCCTAGCCATTCCAAAGTCAGAGATTTTTGGATTCATTTCTTCGTCGAGTAAGATATTACTTGCCTTTATATCTCTATGTATAATTCTCAATCTAGAATCTTTATGAAGATAAAGTAGTCCCCGACTGATTCCCTCAATGATGTTAAAGCGTTTTTTCCAATCCAAGAGTTTTTGTTTGGCTGGATCTTCAAGAATAGACCAAAAAAAAAAAACAAAAGAAACCATTAGAGCTTATTGATAGTTACAGATAGAAAACCAGGCAAAAAAAGTCTTAGGTTGCATGATTGAAAGGAAAAACATAGAGAAGGCAACAGCATGTTCTAACTGAAGAGAAAAGCATCTAAGCTTCGGTTGGGCATGTGCTCGTAGACCAACATCTTTTCATCTCCTTCAATACAACAGCCTAGGAGTCTAACAAGATTCCGATGTTGGAGTTTAGATATCACCAACATTTCATTCATAAATTCTTCTGACCCCTGTCCTGAATCTCTCGACAATCTCTTCACCGCTATTTCTTGCCCATCCTTTAATGTTCCCTGAAAAGAAAATTTGGTCAGTAAAGTTCACATGTCACTCATTTGCTGAAAACCCCACAGTTACCTTGTACACTGGACCAAAACCACCTTGCCCTAGCTTATTTGAAGGGCTGAAGTTGGTTGTCGCAGTTGCAAGTTCCTCAAATTTGAATGGTGGTAGTTGCTGGAGTTTGTTGTCACTCGAAAATTTTGTACATGCTTTCCCTTTGATTGATAGTGGCATTTCTTCACTTTTTACTTTATTAACTGATACAGAAACAATTGTGTACTAAAACACACAATTCTAGTTTCAAACTAGGGAACAAATAGTACAGTGAACATTACCTCTGTGTTTGGCGATCCACCTGCATAAGAAAAATGTAGAGATGGCAATGGTGATAAATCCGATAACTACTGTCATTAGGATAATAATCGGATTCCTGTATTTCTTCATATCTGCAAATAAAGTGCAATGGATACTTTATCTAACCCAAACTAAATAGCAGGAAAACCAAGCTTTGAACTTCTATGTATGTCTGTGGACTATAAAACTACATGTACAATACATACACACCAAACTTTAGTAACAAAAGCAGATAAGTTAGAAGTAGTAAAAAATTAGATACAGAACACAAGCATTTACCAAGTTCTGAATGTTCTAGGCGAATGTAAAGATCTATCCCTCCCCTGGACATTTGCTGCATGTCAATTAAGTTTTCACTCCATGTCATACAACCAATACCAGCGTCATATGCATAAGCAACACAGGAACAATTGTTTAGGCACCGTTCTTCGCATTTGTCTTCCGACGAAGGTGACCACTCTGCAAAATCTGGCACTTTCATCATCTTTACCTTCAAAAACCCATCTTTGGTTGATTCACTGCCACTTATTATTCTATCACACTGCAAAGGTTTACTCCTAACACATCCACTAGTCCAATTTCCTCTATTCCATTCTTTTGTATTCATGGGCTCAAACCCTCTTAAGCAGCTGCAAATTGATTTTTTTTTAGAGTCACAGCTTCCAAATGCACCGCATTTGCCATAAACTTGACACTCAGTTTTCGGAGAATACCGACTATTGTTCCAATCCCTCTTTCCTTCATCCCAAATTTGTTGTATTACTTTCCCTTCTGAATTTAAGGAAAAAAATGATGAATATGATGTGTTAAGTGAACCAAACATAAGATAAAAATTTCCTTCTTTGTCATTCACAAGATTGAATCCATCAAGATAAAAAGAATACATGAGTTCTACGCCAGTAAAGATCAGACCATTCCATGGACCACTCCGCCAATATGGCCTGGTATTATTCCAAATGAAAACTTGAGGAATGTTGAGAGGTTCAAGACCCAAAGAGAAATTACCATTAGATGGATCAGAAGAGCTTTTCCATGATGTCAACTGCACTTTCTCACCTGTTCTTGCATTAGTACTAATTTTCATGGTTGGCACAAAGGCATTAGAAGGTTGTTGAAAACTTTCCCATAAACTTGCTGCATCTGTGTTATCTTGCAACACGAGGTTTCCAGAGTCCAAAACCTTAGCACTTGTATTTGCTGGTGGACTTTTAATATTTGATGACCAAAGAATCTCCTTTTGTCCATTTGAAACCACAAGATTGCCATCCTCTGCTATCATGACAATTCCAGATTCATCTCTGAGGGGTTTGTTTCTGTTGGCTATCCAAATAACAGATTGTTCAGGAATGCCAAAATTGTACCATATCCCCACATACCGATCTGTAGAATTTGCAGGGCTAAAGAACCCCAACCGGAATACCCCACCGTTGGAGGTTATAGCTTCAGGATCTTTGATTGAGTTAGATGTTGTGATGGTGTCTATGGTGGAGCCAAATTTTATAGCATAGTAGGATAGGAGAAGGAGAACTACTAATCTTGAGCCACTGATCATTTCCATAACTCTTTGCTTTTCAAGAGAATGCAGGTCTTGTAGACGTGCTGGTTTTGTTTTTGGGATTAAGTTACAATTGTTGGAGGGGGGATTGAAACCTGCTTCTTGTGCTGGAGGACATAATGCATCTACCCATGGACAAGACACCGGAGAGCTATAGCCAAATATACTGGATTTTCTGACTATACCAACGGATGCCATGCACAATAATTTATTCCCAACATATCACTTATAATTATTATAATGCATTTAAGCAATTATAATTCAGCATGATGTAAGCTGTAAGATTCATAAAATATTATATAGAGCCTACAATTTTAAGCGTTGAACTTCTAGATAATTTTTTGTTTTAATTGGCTGCAAGTAAAATGCTCCCATTTTTTTCACTCTCATTATCTTAGGTCCTTTGAGCTAATCTTTTATTCAAAACTTATGGTATAAAATAATACAAGTTTTAGAACATATAGACTCTTTGTATCTGGAACACCATTCTTGAATAATTAACAGTCAAATAAAAAAAATATGGCATGGCAAGAATCTCAGAGCCATGAACTTTCTCAGGGAAGATGATACAGACTGTAGTCAATGAAAACAGATTATTTAATTTGATTGAGCAAATTGATTTCAACTGCATTTATGTATATTCAAATATCTCATGACCTAAGCATTAACTTTGACATAGCTGGGATTATTTTGGAACGGGGCCGTTGAAAAGAAACAATAGGAAAGCTCTTGGAAATAGCCTATCCAGAAGTAAGAGAACACCAGGGCGCCATTACGTTGTATTTTTTCTACATCTTTTTTCTATTCGAAAAAAATGTTGACCCAATGAAGGTTCAACTCCGTATTGCTTCCTGAAGGCTGTGTTCAAAGAAGAATGGAGAGAAAAAGGATGATGTTTTGTGTTCTGCCGAGGAAAAAACCACCACAAACACACAGGCTGCATCTGTCATTCCAATATAAATACAATATAGAATACATGATTTCAACTTCTTTTAACTACTACTTTTGCTTGTCTGCCTTATGTTGTGGATCACCACAAACTTAACAATAAAAAAGTAAACAAAATCTGCTGGGGCTTGGCAGAATTGAAAGAAAAAAAATTAAAAAACTTGTGATAGCAAAAATGTTTTACCTGTTCCTTTATCCTCAGGTTATGGCCTACTTTGTACTAAAAATAATGTCACACCTGCTGCTAACACTCCTCGTTGGCATTTTTGCTGGAAACACCAAGGCTGCTCCTTAATGTTTCAAATCTTGCTTCTGGCAAGGCCTCTGTTAGCATATCTGTAATTTGGTCTTCTAAGTTTCAGTCTACTAGCTTCACTTTATTCTGAACTTCAGCTTTTCTAGCAAAGTGATATTTAATCTTGATATGTTCAGTTCTTTCATGGAACATTGGATTTTTTGCCATTGCAACTGCTGCTTGATTATGACAATAAATTTTTGTTGCATCTTCTTGCTTTTGATTCAAATCCATCAAAACTTTCCTTAGCCAAATACTTTGCTTCTGTGAGCCACAGTTCCTTGTTTCTTTGAATACCAACTGAAAACACTTGTTCCTATGGAGAACGCATATGCCGATATGTCTTCGTGAGAACCGGCCCAGTCACCGCCTGTAAAGCCGACAAGATTTTGAGATTGCAGACTTTTTGAACCAAATTCCAAGTTCATTAGAATCTTTGATACATCTGGAAACCCTTTTAACAGCCTTGAATTGGAACTCACTAGGATTTTGCATAAACCTAAAGAGTAAGCTTGCTGCATACATTATATCTGGCCTTATAGTTGTCAAATATGCAACAAGCAACCAATCAGACTTCTATACACAGAACCATCCACCTTGTCTACTCCATCTTCCTTAACCAATTTTTCATTTTGAACCAATGGAGAGTGCTGATTGGTTTACAATTTTTCATGCCAAACTGTTCAAAACTTCATTTGCCTTTTTCTTTTTTTGGACAAACGAAGATTCTTCCTGGTTTTGATAAATCTCCCTTTCAAGGGTTATTGTAAAAGATAAAAATTTAAATTTTTGTTGTTGCAATCACGTCTTGTTGTGTGATTACGGATATAATAGAAATTATTATAATCATCGCGATCATTTGAATTTTTTTTAATTTTATTTAATTTATTATAAAATACAATAATTATAATAATATTCATAAAAACTCTTTTTTATAATATTTAAAATAATTTAAAACATTTCATGTTTTTATTTTTTTAAAAAAATTTACAACTTTTTAAAAATTATAATAATGTATTCATATTTCATTTTATACCAAATTTTTACTTGAATAGAAGATCATATTCAATGTTATAACAAAGTTCCTAAAATTTTTATTTCCTTTCACCTATTCACCCCCCCTCTCCCTCTTCCCCCAAACATACCCTCCGCTAGCATTAATGCCCACCAATTTTTCTAACCTACTAACCTCCTGCCTTAGCCTTCAATCCAGTGCCCAGCACCCACACACTCCAGCCTTCATTCCTCCAGAGTCCAGCCTCTACGTTTTCTTCTTAACTCTTATTCTTCTCGTCTCTTACAAAGACCCAAACCTCAAAATCAGTAAATCAGTAAAATCCTCATCTCTCTGCCTCTCTTGATTGAGCTCTCCGATCTCCGCCTCCCTCCTCCCCCATCAATCAACACACAACACTCAGTTACAATCCAAATCCTCTTAGTCTCCCAGTCACAGATCAGTCATCAGAGATTTTTTTTTCCAACAGTAATTTGCAGCAAGTCAGCAATTTTTTTTGTATAAAAAAGGTAATTTTAACTTATTCTTACCTTCAAATTACTTGTTTTTTACACTTAATCTTAATTGAGGTTGAATTTGGGTGAATTGATTTAATTCAATTGGTTTTTTTCTTTTAAAAATAGAAATATGGATGAAAAATGAAGACAACAGCAATAGCCCGTTATTAATGTTATTTTATGTTACGTCGTTCTCTTGACAATGCACCGTTTTGAGTGTATTTCAAGTTCACCGTTCTTTTATCATTTTAATATCTAAACTTTTGTTCTATTAAATATTTTGATATTTTTGACTAATATAGTCATAATTATTTTCGCTAGAATCATCTTGATCAAATTAAAATTGATCGATCATAATTAATATCATCTTCATCATATTAAAATTCAATGGGTTATAATCAATATCATCTTTATCATATTGAAATTCAATGAGATCTTTAGACTAAAATTCAATGAGATCCAAAAAAATCATATCTTCATCCATAAGATCCCAAGTATCTGGATCAATCAAAAATTAAATTCTGTCATAATTATTCATTTTCAAATGATATCTATAGTATTTAAAAATATTCATTTTTGGCTTAAGAAATTTCTTATAATTTAAACCAAAACAATTTTCATTTTCGCATAGAACCCAATGCTTGAAATCTTTGGGCCTTTCTAAATCATTAATATTTGTGCAATTTTTTTTTAGAATTAAGTCATTACCACATGCACAACGTGCTTTTAAAGTTAAATCATTACCTTCACTACTATTTCCACCTTTATTACAAATGTAACCGCAAATGTAATTATAAATATAACTATCATTATAATTATCATTACCACTTAAAATGAAACTATCAATATAGGTTTGAGAACAAAGATAAAAGTTAATACAACTCTTAATGTGATTATTCCAACTATAATTAGTATCATACAAGTTAAAATCATAGTGGGGATCGTCATTGTCAATCTGAAAATTTTGATTTTCACTATAGTTGCTTACATGACATTAATACTTAATAAAATTATAATATATGACATAAATGTCAAATTATCACTATATCATCTATTTACATGTCAATATTTAAATAAAAAAATTTTAAAAAATTATGCCTAAATTTTTCTAAATTTTAAAATTTTGTTAACATGATAATAGCTAACTTGACGTTAATTGGACATTTATAACACGTGGTGTGATTTTCTTAAGTATTCATATATATTATTACTTAATTAATGGTAATAGTACGAAATATCAAAATATTTGACAGAATAAAAATTGAAGTATCAAAATGAGAGTTTTATTTTTTTTAAATACTAAATTAACAAAAAATATAATATAAGATTTATTTTACATATTAACCCAAAAATAATAGTACTTCCCCTCATGAAGGAACAATGAACTTTTCATCTCTCAAGAATTGTGATATGTAGCAACAAAAATTTATTGTTATATTGTGAATAGCTGTGCTACAAAAAGTTTTTGCAATAACTTTGATGCATACTTTTTATTGCAAAAAATAGTTTACAAAACCTATTGTAACATAAGAATTTTTATGTTGCAAAAAATGTTGTGTAAATTACTACAAGGTGCTATAAATAGTAATGTTGTAAAAGGCATTGGCAACAATTTTATATAAATTTTTGCTGCAAAACCTAACATGTACTATTGCATATTGCAACATAGTACCTTTTTATATTGCAAAAAAATATATATTTTTTGTAACATTTGTATAAATCAGTATAAAAAAACTGTTGCTAAAAGTTAAAATTTTTGGTGGTGCCTTCGTATGAACTTCACGTTTAGGGGTGATGCGAGAGTAGTATCAATTTTAGATTTGATAATTCATGTATTCGTATCATATAAAATATTAAAATTTATAAATTTGTGTTACGTTTTATATGAAAATTATATGTCATAATTCGTGTGAATATTAAAATATAAATATTTTTTTATTTTATTAAACTTAAATATAATTATTATTAAAATTTTAAATTATGTAATTTTCGTGTCTTGTATTCATATTCATATTTTGTTATGTCATTTTTTAGATTGTTAGGAGTGCAACTTAGGCATAATAGCCTCTCACATGAGAGCTAACAACGGGCGTAGCAACTGCTCTAATAACATGTGAACTTTTATATTGTACATTTAACTTAAAACAAATTTAGCAATAGTCCATAGATGGAGTTGCTCTTATTATATTTATGTGTTGGAAGTATTCAATTTTTTTTTTCAAGATTTATCCAAAAACAATTATGAAAAAATTATAATTGTCAACGGAGCAATCGTTCCATCCGCAAATATTTTTATTTAAAATTTCATATATAATTAAACAAGACTGTCAAAGTGAAAGTTTGAAATCAATCAAGTTATTCTCCAGACATTATTACTTATAAGTAAACAGAAAATAAAAAAAGCTTTAAGTTCGAAACAAAGACAATAATACGGATGGCAGCAACATGTACATAGCACAAGCCCTAATTACTGGAACTCCTTTTTTCTTTGAGATATTTGCCAACAACTTCTGCCAATATCTCCAATGGCTTGGTACTCGCCTGAGAAGCAATATCTTCAAGCTTGTCATCTATTTCATATTCTACTGACGACCTGCTAATACATGATTCAGCATCTTTCTCGATGATTTGCAATCGACGTCGATAAAGCACAAATCCTAAATCTTTGTCTCCTCCTTCAATCACTTCTGCTTCCTTCACGCGCATCTCATCATCAATTTTTGTGATCATTTCCTTCATATAACTAGGTCCAGGAGTTCCTGAAATGATTTTAAATATCATGATGTTAATTTTATATATATATATATGACGTCGTAATCTGCATATAAAAAAGAGGTTATTGATGTTGAGATATAATTCTCAAATTTATTGAATATCATCTTTTAATAATGATTGTATAAATTAGTTAAGGTAAGTTTCAGGTTTTAAAATACTAATAATACTGGTTTAGTCATTGACATAAGAGAAAAAAAAAACAATTAAAGCTTTCAATCGGCATATGATTAATATGATTAATATTATGATTGAACAAATTATTGAAATTAAAAGTCTGATATTTCATTAATAAATCACACGACTGTTAATATTTTAAGTGCATGTATATATATATATATATATATATATATATATCTTAGATTAGCATGGTTAATTACCTGGAGGGAATGTGACGTTTAAAATAGTTCCAACTCCACCATCGCCTTGGACAACTTCAATCTTGCCGATGACATCTTGTAGCAGTTCATTGAGGAGCCTTCCCAGCTCGAGACTACGGTAGACATCCCATATCACAGCCGCCGGAACCTCCACCACAGTATCATGCGAAAGATAGCCACGCATTTTCTATAATATTTTCTGCCATATTTTCACACAAGCTCTTACAAGCAACCGTTGTTATATATATATAAAATATTGCAGCTGTTTTGCTTTGTATACGGCTTTAGGAATATTCAAATAACAAAGTTATGTTAAGTTTATTTTTCAAACGTATTAAAAACTAATAGTAGTCAAGGAAAGCTACTTGTCGAAAAAAATGGATTACAACCCCAAAATTTCAAATTTGTGAAAAAGGTGTTTTCCAAACAGATAGAAATTGAAAGTAATGGAAAAAATATTTGCGGCAAACGAGTAGATTCAAACCTTAAATTTTCAAATTTGTTGAAAAAAATTATTAAAAACCAATAGTAGTCGAAGAAAGTTACTTGAGGAAAAAGAACACTCAAACCCCAAATTTTCAAATTTGTGGAAAAGTATTTTCCAAGCATACAATAAATGAAGAGTAATGAAAAGATTTACTTGTGGAAAACGAGTAAACTCAAAGCCTAAATTTCCAAATTTGTGAAAAAATATTATTTTCCAAACGAATGGGAAATAAGAATTTGATATTTAAGATTTTTAATTAATTTAAATTCATTGTTTGAATAATCAATATTTTTAGATTTGAATTAAAATCAATATTTTGTTCATTAAATTTAAAAATTAAAATAAAAGAAAAAATCGAATGCGTTATAGAAGTAAATCATTTTATATCTTTCGAAGTTCTTAATTGCTTTTTTTTTTTTTAAAGTCTTGGTCACATGTTTTACATAATCAAATTCAAATTATATAAATACAAGTCAAAAGAACCAGAAAAAATGGTAAAATATTAAAAAATTTCTTGAATTATTTTATTTTTTTCATCACGAGATGCATCCCAACTCCTTCATCTTATGTATTAAAAATTAAAAAAAAAAAAAGTAATAACGTATCCAAAATGTGCTTTAATCAACCTTTAAGGATATGTTAAAATTGAGTATTATAGTTAGTAGTATTATAGTTAGTAAGTTAGTATTAAATATAATATTCAACTTATGAATATTATTGCCTGGTGGAATTAAATTTTAGTAAACTATATATATATTGAATTTTGTAAATAAAAAAGACTACGTAACATCATTTTTCCACAACATTACTTCCTCATATCTTGTAATTATTTGAAAAAAAAAAAATCTTCATTCGTAAAAACGATTCGTGGGGTCCCTCAAACTTTCAAAAAGGCATAACAAACTGTTTTCTTTGAAATTAAAAAAAGATTTCAAATTTGCCTAAAATCCTTTTTTGAAAGATTTAATCCAATAATCACTTATTTTTTAATTATTCTATTTTCTTTCTCATTAATTTAATTTCCTTAAATTGTAGTCATCACAAATATATTTTTTCTTAAACATATATAATTATATAAAGTTATATGAGAAAACAAAATAAGAAATATGTAGACATAAAATAAAATTTAAGAAAAAATATGTATGTGAATAATATTATTGACATGAATAATGTAATAAAAAAATATTTTTTTATATTTTCAAAAAAAATATTTTTTATTAAATAAAAAATTAAGTATATAAATAATATTATTGACATAAAAAAATATTAAATATTGACAAGAATAATACAAAAAAATCCAAATAAAAGCTATACTCACCCAAGTCGTAAATGAGTTGACGCAAATTGGGCTTTCTTTAGGCCATGGGTCAGTAACCCTTTTCTTGTCTTTTCATTTTTTTTCTTTCCCTTGGCTCTTTCTCTTTCAACCTTTACAGCCCTCTCTTTAAAACTATATCCCAGTGGAAACTTCAATCAAGGTCAAATTTCGTGTGGTCGGTCGTAGGTTGGATCGCCTATTCATCACCGTCAACCACCAATTACCAACGTAAAAAACTTTTAAAAAAAAAAAACCAAAAAATCCCCCATTTCTCCATTTTCTTCTATCCAAATGGATCCCAAAAAACTCATGATTTAAGATGCATCTACAAAAAATCGACGGCTTTAAACCTAAAATTATCAATCCTCCATAGCTCCAAGTGGTGCAAAATTCTAGTATGTTGCTCCCCTCCTCAAGTCTTCCATTCCCACCGGTTTGAATTTTCTAGTAAATATCCCTATGCCGTCAGCCTCTGGACGTCGCAATCTCACCTACAGCCATTAATGACTTCTTTGTTTTCCTTGCTTTCCTTTTCGTGCCTAAACTCTTATCAAAGCTCAATCAAACCTGAAAATTCCTCACACCTGAGACTTCACTTATTCATTTTAGGTTTTTGGAATGTTGTGGTTGTTGGCTATTTTCCTTCCTGTTGTATCTGTTGGCTTTTTTGTGTGATTTTGAATGTGCTGTATTGTAGTTGACGGCTATTTTGACGAATTAGTAAGACATTGATAGATAAGAAGATCGTCGGAAAATCAAGCGAAAGTGAGAAGATAGGTGAGATACTGACAGAAAATAATAAAAAAAAAAAAAGAGAGAAAAAGAAAGTGACACGTGACTAGTTTTATGGAGAATCAAAATATGCAAAATTTATATTATGAATTATTTAATATTTTTTTAATTATAGTTATTAAAATTAGATTGGATATTAAATTATTTAAGATTTTAGATTATCAAATTAATGATTTAATTATCGGATCAATGGATCAATTATTCATTTAATAAAAAATATTATAAAAAATACAAATATTTTAAAGTTTAAAATTTAAATTTTTAACTAAAATTATAGTTTAATAATTCAATTATAAAACTATAAATTTTAAAATATATCATAAACTACAAATTTTAAAATATAAAATTCATAAAACAATTCATTACTAGTTAAAAATGAAATTACTTAAACATTTTATTAAAATCATATTTTATATTTTAATAGTTAGAAATAATATTTATATTTTAATAAATTATACTAAATAATAAGTAATAAATAATTTATATTATTATTATTTATATTTATTAAAATATAAATATTATTATTAAATATATAATAATTAATCTTTATGCAATAAAATATCTATATAAATTAATAAAAGAAAATATTATATTTATATGAAAAATTAGTAAAAGGAAAATTAAAATCATTATATATTTTTTAAATGAATGTAGATTTTTTTTATTAATTTTACATATGTACATTTTTTTATTAATTATTTTTTATTATGATCAATTAATTAATCATTTTTATTAATATTTTATTTTTATTAATTTTATGTATTATTATTTTTATAATTATTTTTAATATCGTACCAATTAATAAAATTTTTTGTTAGATCATTTTTTTTTTAAATTACTTATTTTTATACATATATAAGTTTTTTTTTACAATATTATTATTCATGTGTCAAAATATACTAATATATCAGTAATATAAAGATACAAGGGTTTTGCCAGTAAAAAATAAGAATTGGAGGGCTTATTTAGATTAAATAATAGTATAAGAGTTTAATTAAATTATTTTGAATACTTGAAGGATTTTTTTCATATTTTTCTTAAATTTATTAGTTGGTTTAAAACCAATTCTGTTAAAAACAAAATTGTTTGGTTTATTGATTTATTATATAAACTATCATTTCACAATGGTTTAAAGTGTTTTAATTGTAAAATTTGTCTAATTATAAAATTGGATCAGTTTCAATATTGGTTCATCGATTTACCTAATCGAACAAGCGATCTGATATGATTTTGATAACTATGCTTCAACCAATGTTTTCCCATCATGTCTCAAACAAAATTTCAAAACCAAACAGTTTTGATTATTTTTCTCTACTAATTTTAAAGAATAGAGATCAACTAAGACTACTATAACTCTTATATTTTTTTTAGGACTTTTGAATCAAAATTAAATTTATAATTCATTTGAATCAAAATAATATTTTAAAATTTAGTAATTTTAATCCAAAGATCCAAAAAAAATTAAGTGTTATACAATTGTAAATAGATCCCTCTTCTATATTAAATGTTATAACCAACATAAAATACAAAAGAAAGATCAACTTACACAATATAACTCCTTTTCAATTTTACACATTTTTCAACTTTTGATCTTTATAGATTTAAGAGATGAGAGACAAATAAAAAAAAAAAAATAGTTTAATCACATCCATTGGATATATTAAAATGAATGATTAAAAAATTATGTAAAACTAAAAAGAGTTATACCGTGTAGTTTGATACTTCCTCTAAAATATAACTTAAATTTAAATTCAATAGATTTATATAATTATTTTTAAAAAAATCTAATAAATTTGATATTTAAAATTAAACACCAATAATCTTTTCTTTTATTCTCGTATTATGATATCTTTTTTTTTTAAATATAGATATTAATTAACTTTTAAATTAAAATAATATAGTAATAAATGTTAAAATCAGTCGTTAATGTTTGGTGAGTCCAAGCTCCAATCTAAAGACTGAATTAGCTTTGCCTTTTGCGTGCATTTTTGTGCTTAGTTACAAACACCAAATAAATAACATAACAAAACATAAGAAACTGTTAATTATCAATAGAGTAAATTTTTTTAATGTTATTTTATGCACGAGGGAGGTTTCTTCTAAAATGAACCAAAATAAGAGAAATTAATTAGGCATATGATGCATTGGATGACTGCCACGTGTGAATTCCACTCTTCAAATTGGTGTAACTTTGTCAGTGTTGTGCCTTTCTTAACGTAAGGTACACATGAATTCAAGGTGGCGGGGGCTCCATTGCCTTGCTCGACAACCGAGTTGAAATTCGGGTACGAATTATTATTTTAATTCCAAAATTACCCTTAAAAAGTATATTTTGCATTTTAAATTGTTGTTTTGCTTTTATTTTTTTTGAAAATTCTGATATCTTTTATAATTTGATGAAAAGTTATAGTTAATTTGAGATGCATAATCAAATGGTTCAAATCAAAAAATAAGAAAGCATAACGTAATTAATGCAAATTTCAAATTTCGATTATAATATTTTATTTATTTTTCATTACTTAAAATTGTCAAATTTTAAATTATATTTATTAGAATTAAAAATTTAATATTTTATTAATAAATTATGTGACTATTATTTTTCATTTGAATTATTATTTTTCAGATTTAATTGAATCTCATGTCACAACTCATCTAATAATATTAGTAAAAACTCCTTTAGGCAAATAGGAAATAGTTAACACTTATAAATAAAACAATTATAAAGGCGTAAAGCCTACAAATAGAAATTTAATTATAGCTTTAAGCTAAAATATGAGAATTAATTTAATAAATGGCCGCCATGCTCATTAATTTAGGCATATTCTAGTCAATGGTGTGAAGTTAATAATTTAAACCTTATTACATCGTAATAGTAATGTAGGTGTTACGGGTCGAAACTTAAATTCTGAATTTACGTGATTTTAGGACTCGAGCATCCATTCATCCGACGTTTCAGATCAACCTAACCACCACGGTTCACATCCTTATGAAGTATTATCCGCTCTGGTTCTCTTGACCTCACGATTTTATCCTACAAAAAGTGTCTCACAAGGAAGAGTTGATGTGAATATTTTTATATTTCAGTGACCCTCTTATTATGTTCGATGTGAGATTTAAGACTCTTCTTTAGGCCAATGACATAGACACTTTTTTGTTCTTATCATATGAAAAAAAAAAAACAAAATTTTAAGTCATTAATCTCAAGAAAAAAATATTTATGAAAATAATTAATATGTAAGGTCTTAAAGAACTTTATCTAAGACTCGACTTAAATAAAGCTAGACCTACAAATGAAATGGATAACCCGATCCGTAAACAAATCCAATTTTATTCTTTTTTTTTTAAATGGGTTCTAATAATCTTAGCATTTAAGTGAATTAATTAATTAATGATGGTTGTTTTTCATATCCATTTTTGTTTTTTGGAGATATATTTCTTCTAAATAATGATATTAAAATTAGTCATAATTTTGCAATCTCTTATCTATAGTAAATAATGATTGACTAAAAGAAATTAATTTTCACACTTGATCTCTTTGCATATTTTTTTTTATCTTTACATACTTTTTTTATACTTTTTATCTTTACATACTTTGTAGTTAATTATCCGTTAGAAAAATTAATCTTACTTAGGAATGCATAACATTTTTTTATGAAATATATACATTATTTTTATGCAACTTTAAAATGAATATAATTGCAAAGAAAAATTCATTACTTTATTTTAAAGTTGATTCCTTATAAATAAAACCCTTCAATTTTGAAATTCAAAATCCGAAACCGAAATTTAAATAACTTGGTTTATGTAATTATTTTTAAAATATGATATTTAAAAAATATTAAATTTAAATCTTAAAATTTGTAATTTTTTTAGTACCTTTTTTCTAAGAAAAAATCATTCAATTTTTTTTAAATTCTTAATTTATCTTTAAATCTCCTTATCCTATTACATATCTAACTAAAGAAGATATTACATGCCTAAACTTTTTTGAACCTACAAACTTATAACCTCTTTTCTAAGGAAAAATCATTCAACTTTTTTTCTTAAATTCTTAACCTACTTTTAAATCTTTTTTTCCTATTACATATTTAACTAAAAAGAATATTATACTCTTAAGTTTTCTCAAACCTGTAATTTTCAAGTATAGACTAACTTGTCTAAGTGATAGTCGGCAAAATTATTCAACTTTATAGATAAGGAGACCTTAGTAATTTTCTTTTATAAAACTATCAAATACATGTCACGGTGACAGCTTCTGACAGACACAAATACTTCTGTCGTAACCTTATCTTTTTTGTCTTTAATTTGCCAATCATCAATCATACAAAGAAGCTCCCAGTCAGTCGCATTCCCAACGCTAACTCTATCCTATTCCTATATTTCGTATCTTTTTCCCAAAATCTAATCGAAGGTTTCAAACCTTTCTAATCTTTCTATTTGTTGTTTGAATTGTAGTAGTACTGAAACAAAGTGATGAACAACTTTTCTCATCATAAGCTGGTTTTGTTTTTGCAGGGATGATGGGGAGATTGCCTTACCATGATGGAAATGGCCTGAAGAAAGGGACTTGGACGCCTGAGGAAGACCGTATTCTTGTAGATTACATTCAGAAACATGGGCATGGAAGTTGGAGGGCTCTTCCACAGTTAGCAGGATTAAACAGGTGTGGAAAAAGTTGCAGGTATAGATGGACTACTTATCTCAGGCCTGATATTAAGAGAGGAAAGTTTTCCGAGGAAGAAGAGCAAACCATTATCAATCTTCATAAAGTTCTTGGCAATAAGTACTCTATTAACTTTCTTCTGTGTATTATAACTTCTTTAAAAGCCAACAACTAAACAGCAGCCCTTGGTTTTTAACTTGGCAGGTGGTCTACAATAGCAACCCATCTCCCTGGACGAACAGATAATGAAATTAAAAATTTCTGGAACACCCGTCTGATGAAGAAGCTTCTCCAAATGGGGATTGATCCAGTGACTCACAGGCCAAGAACTGATCTCAACATTCTAGCTAACCTGCCACAGCTGCTTGCTGCTGCCAACTTTAGTAACCTAATGAATATTCCTTTAGACAATGCTCTCAGGTTGCAATCAGATGCTGCACAGCTTGCCAAAATCCAATTGTTGCATAACATACTTCAAGTTCTTGGTACTTGTAGTAGTAGTTGTACTCCTCCGACTATGGAAGCAATGAACCTTATTCTAGCTGGACCAACTTTCCAGGAAAATCATCAGCTATATGAACTCCTTAGAATAAATTCTCGGCATGAAGGGAATGGTAATCTCCCCTTTGGCTTTGCCACACATGAACTTCCACAATTACAGTCAAATATTCTTAACATCGAAGCTTATCAACATCAGCCACAGTTCAGTCAATATCATCAGCCAATGAAAGTCTTAAAAATTTGTTCCAACAACAATGTTCAATTTGCTTCTTCCTCTTCATCTTCTGCTCTTCCGACTTCAACTCCACCGCTTCCAGCATTAGTTCCAGCCTCACCCGAACTTCCACCAACTACTGTTAATCAAACTGAAAACAAAATTAACCCAAACGATAACCCTTCATTTCCTTCGACCACCTTTGAAGCTTTGGGAAATCTTATGGATGATGAAGCAAGTGACTCTCACTGGAGAGACATTATACAGTAAGTATTTATTATTAGTCTATTGCCTTGTGAACTAAATTAATGCACTGCTTAGATCATTTTATATTCTTCTTTTTTTTTGCCATTATTAAAAAACCAAAAAAACTCTGTTTAATAAACACTTTGTTCATTTATTTATGATTCATTTTCCTTGATTTGCAGCCAGGCATCATCACAATCATGGCCCATCTCTTAGTTAAATATATCAAGAGTTTGGTTTAATAACTTGTAGACAATCCATGCAGTTATATATATATTTGCTCAGTTAAGAATCCCCTTTCATTAGATTTAAATAGAAAGAAAAATTTTCATAGTTTAATTCAATTGATTCATATAATCTGTTAAAGTGATGTTATCATATATGTAATAAATATTTAATTTTTTATAATTTTATATTTAGGTTGGATCTATCTTTTTACTGTCAATTAATTTTAAGTTAAATATTTAATATGACATCAAAGTTAAGATTTTTTTTGTTATTTTTTTTAAAATTTATCACGTGGTAACCTTTCACTTACTATCAATTAATTATTTATTATAATCTTATTTTTAAATTAAATCATTTCATTTATTGTCAATTAATATTTTAAATCGGATACTCTCAACATTGAGTAATTCATTTTTCTATCCTTATATTACTAATTTTTTTCATAATTTAAATCTCAGCACTTGTAATTTATTATTTTATTTTCAAGTTATATTTTTAAAAAATAATAATAATAAAAAAAAGAAATACAGGCCTCTTGCCAAAGTTATTATATATTCTCTGTATCTCTTTTCTTTTACAGTTTAATTTGTTATACAACCTTAGATTTTTTTTCTATATATATTTTTTCTTTTTAACTAATTTTGTTCTTGGTTTATTTCGCTTTTTTAATTATATTTCTATAGTCGTTGTTAATTATGCACATGCATTTTCATTTCAGCTGGCTATGTCTATCATTAGAAAGAGAAGGAAAGGGGAAAGCAGTTGGATGAAAATTAACTGTAGATGGTTTTGGACACGAAATTGATGAGTGAAAAAGAGTTTTTTTTATCAATTAGAAAAGGGGTTTGGACCTTGGGATGTAGAAGGACAAATTCATGTCAAACTTGTATTAACACAAAAGACTGAAAAATTAAATGCTTAGAAACATTTCTATTGTCTTTTGGCAGTGTCTCACTCAAATGAAGATCAGGAACAATGAACCTTGAAATAAATGAAATAAATAAATATATATTCTAAAAAAAGAGAAAAAAAAAATTATAAAAGCATTGTTGCTAAACTAATAGATAGTTATATTGGAAAAAATTCATACGAAAATTTTTAGATAAAATTTGTAAAGTTATTTCTTAAAAATAATTTAATAAAAAATCCAAATCGATATGTTGATCCAATTTAAGATAAAGATCAATAATATATATAATTATTTAAAATATTATTAATAATTTAAATTTGATCTATATTTATTCAACAGCAAAAATTCTTTTAATATTTTACTAAAAATATCTATCTAAAAATACATATTGAAGTTTTTTCAAGTTTTTTCAAATTTTTTCAAATTTCGCACATTTAACCTATATAACGAGATATTTCAATCTATTGATTTTAATTTTGATTTTGATTTTGATTTTGATTTAATGGATTTTAGTTGAGAACCTCAAAAACCTTTATTTAAGTCCTATCCTAGTTATATCTGTCTCATAAAAAAGTCAAGACATTTCCAGCTATAGAAGCAAATTGATGCAAAGCTATAAGCGTGCGTTTGGTCGAGGGAGTTCAGATTATTTTTTAATAATCTGATTTTTCATCTAATCACTTTACATGATTAAATCTTCGGAGATAAGAAGGGCAAGTTCCTCCAAAACCCTAAACAGTCTCTCTTTCATTGTTATTGTAGTATAATTAAAATGTGTTGCTTGAAAGTTATAACTTAGAGTGTCATTTTTGTTTCTGTGTTGAAAAATGAAGGTACAGTAATATCAAAACATAAGAAATTGTATATTTATTTGCCAAGAATTGAATTTTGGCAAGTGAAAACCAATCATAATATATTTGGATTTTGTAAAGAGATATTATAAGAGAGCTTGGAAAATCCCTTGTCACAAGCTAAGCTTGTCTGCATTAGCTTTATGATATGTAGTTTCCTATTTGGCCTTTTTAATCAACTAACCTTACCAACCTTGCCTGTATGTTGTGTACTTATCAGTGCTAAATCACAAAAATTTATAGTGAAAAATCAAGTTAAGCAATTTTTAATTTTTTTTATATTTTAAGATTATATGATTTTTAACACAAAATTTTAACTTTCTTCTCTATTAAATTTATTGATGTGTTTTTGGGATGTCCTAGATGTAAAGAAGATGATAAGATGGAAGGGGAAGACAGCGGTGACTTGCAGTCAGAAAACACAGACATAGGGCACCAGAGTTATTACTTCAGGTATGCTTCGACGCTCAGTTAGTATAACCTGAGATTGGGTTAGGAAGTAAGATGGTAAAGTACGTGTGGGAAGTTTCAACGAAAAGAAAAAGTTCAGAGAGTTGGGTCTCTTCTCATAGTACCTTGTTTATATAGTTTTTTACCTAACTCTTGCCTAAAATCAAAGATAATAACCTGATCGAGACAATTTATAATTGATATAATATATACGTAAAATTCAAGAATGGTATATAAGAATAAATGAAAATAACATTTAATGACTTTAAATATGCAATTTATATTGTTTTCTTGACAAGTTATTGATGTGTTTTTGGGATGTCCTAGATGTACAGAAGATGATAAGATGGAAGGGGAAGACAACGGTGACTTGCAGTCAGAAAACACAGACATAGGGCACCAGAGTTATTACTTCAGGTATGCTTCGACGCTCAAGTTAATATAACCTGAGATTGGGTTAGGAAGTAAGATGGTAAAATGCATGTGGGAAGTTTCAACGAAAAAGAAAAAGTTTAGAGAGTTGGGTCTCTTCTCATAGTACCTTGTTTATATAGTTTTTTACCTAACTCTTGCCTAAAATTAAGGGTAATAACCTGATCGAAATAATTTATAATTGATAAAATATATACGTAAAATTCAAGAAAGATTCACAAGAATAGATAAAAATAACATTTAATGATCTTAAATAAACATATATTACATTTAATGATTTCAGACAAATTGAATGTTAATAAATTATTTTTTATATTATTTTCTTGACACAACCTTTGGTGGATGGCAAACCATCCCTTTAGAGCAAGTGATGTGGCTATATTTAAGCATACTTTACCTGGATTACCCAAGGACACAGCTACAGAGGCGAAGGTAGAAAATTGATAAAGAAAGGTTCAAACAATAATTTTAAAAGGAAAGATAGGATCATATAGTAATTAGATGAAATTGATCATTATATAACAGAGGAGATAAAAAAATTTAGGGGGGCATGAGCCCTGCCTGCCTTCTTTAGTGCCGCCCCTACCCAATTGTATCGATCAAGTTTTGATTGTTGACTAATTAACTTACGTATAACAAAATTACACATTTATAAATTTCATTAAAATATTTTGATTTTTTCACAATATATATAAAGATGTATTATATATGTATACATATGCATGCATTTTATATCCACATCTTTGCAAGAAACATTATTTGAAATTATTATATTTTTTGCGAGAGAAATGGGATTTTATTATGGGAGAAACAAAACTATATTGTAAAGTAACTCAA